ATTCGTACGGCGGCCGAAGAGAACCAGTACACTGGCACGGGCCCCGACTGAACATCGAGGTAATGACTTCCAAACCCAGTGGAATTGCTATTATTTGTAGAATCTCTTGGTGCTGAAACAAGACACAAAAAGTCAGTAAGGACTTTTGTGGAATGGTTAGCGGAACGCTATCAAAAGGTATGGCATAGTCTACGTGGACAGTTGATACATACGACCACAGGGTGTGGAAAACAGGGCTTCCCGTCCGCTCAGCCGTACTTAAGCCACACGCCGGGAGGTTAGTAGTTGGGTGGGTGACCACCAGCGAATCCCTTCTGTTGTATGTTTTTGGTCGTCTTTTTTCTTTTTTTCCCTACACATCTGTATAAAGCTTCTGCCACGCGCAAGCACTTATACATAGCTTTTTTTTTCTTGTATAAAAGAAGAAACAACAGATCGAGGGTGGCGGGTGACCATTGGCAAAGAATTGCGTTGACCATTCTCCTCACCATTCGGAAATCACGGAAATTGCCTAAAGGCAATCGAACTCATACTAAATTTCTCATTCAGTGTCAGTCCTACGCTCGCTTCCTCGGTCCAAGTACTCGAAGTCTGAAAAAGAAAAGGTTGAAAGTGCCACTTAATACTATTATTTATCAGGAATCCAATCCCAATATCCTTCTCATCCCCTTATTTTGCACGACCCATCCGCCTCCGACTCTGAACGCTCCTGGTCCCTCAAGGTGCCCTCCTAGCTTTCCCATCGCCATATCGGTCAAGAAGTTTCCCAGGCGCTCAGTCGGCGAGTGCATCCCTGGCAGCGCATATCGAATAACCGGCACGCTCAGTGCCACTCCTATCCGTGGGAAGATTCCCTTCACTACCTGGGCGGGAATGTACGGCTGAATTGCCGGGTGCATGGCCGGGTCCACGAAGCCTGGTCTCATGCTGTCGGCCCGGAGGCGGGTGGGGATCTGCTCCGACAGCTTGCCCAGCAGCTGTTCGGTCTCGCCTTTGACTCGTGCAAAGATCGGGGAGAAGCGGCCAGGGTTGTGTGTGGCTCCTTCACCCGAGACGTAGATAAAACGGAAAGGGTGCTGAGAGGTAGAAGACTTGAGAGTGGAAAATGCATCGGCGGCTGCAAGAGCATAGTCCTTGGTGATCTTGACATACTGGCTGCTTTGGCATTAGCACACTCCAGTTACGTGCTTGTCTTCTTCCCGGGGGTAGGGGGCATCTATACTCTGCGTTGACATTGGTGGAGCTCGTTCCCAAAGCCCAGACGCATCCCTCAGCATCTTGCAGCTGATCCAGCAGCTCTGGCCCATAGACGTCAAAGTTCTTGTGGAGAATCACGCGGACCCGCGGATCTTGAGCGTCATCTGCCATTGGCACAGGTCTCCGGCTCAGAACTGAGATCTTGGAGACGGCTTTATTCTTGAGCATAGCATCCAGCACGGATGAGCCTACCAGGCCGGTTGCTCCTGTAAGAATAAGATGCATTTTGGGCGACTTGTTTTCAAGGGCTGGCTGTTGGGTGGGTAATGATGGTGTAGTGGTAGCAAGAACCTTTTACTCTGAACGTAAGAATTAAGCTTATATTTCGCACCCCGAATGCATGCTTTTTGGAAGTTTTGGGGCGCGGGTCCGACAACCTAAAATAGTCGACGTTGTATTCTTTGCTGGGGCGGTGCACCTGAGAACCCTACCAGGGTTCACCGCAGGGTTTTTATTTGCAAGACAACATGCAGTACAATTCGCACGCTTCTCGATGTGGCTCGATGCCCCGCACGATAAGGCTACGTATATCCGCTTCGGATATCGGACTTAAAGCCTTTAGAGCTGACGTGCTGACAGCTGAGCTGCCGTCCAATTGGCTCGCTGCTCGATTTGGCTCAACGGCCCGCATGCCAGCAGCGGGATTACATCCACTCCGGATCTCGGATTTAAGGCCCACGGGGTTATCATGCTGACACCTGGACTCGATTATGTTCCATACCTCACAATAGATCTAAGATGTTCCATTGAAGTATTGAGCAACTACGGATGTCGAGTTCTATTCTAACGTGGTCCAGGCTATGCTCAGCAAATGGGTACGGTGATCCATCATACCGACCTACGAGCCTCAACCCAGTTTTAACGTGAGAACTTTTGAGCTTCAAACGTGACGCAGAGTTCGTCTCTGCTACATTGCACGGGGTCTCATTTTCTGGCTGAGGTCTTTCTCGTCGCGTGTGCCTTCAGTGCAGGGTTGAGATCTTATCTACAATAGCCGCCAGCAGCCGCCATCATTCGGCCGAGCGACCCGGAAACGGAAGTTTCTCATCATGACGAAGCCACAAGTTTATTCGTCATAGAGTTTTCTTGCCTGTACTTGAATCTCGAAAATCTGCTGAAGGGACCAGAAAACATTCCCGATCGGAGAACTCCCTGTATCGATGTAGGACGATTCGCAATTACCCTTCAACAAGCTTTATGGTGAGAAGGTGGAGCTACGAGACGTCATTGCAGGGTCGGGAGAATTACTTCTTTGGTGATTGCTGCACAGCTTGTAGAGTCATATCTTCACGCTTACCATTGAAAAAACTGTCGCACCGTATGTCTTCCGATGCCTTGGTCAAGCAACACCCTTCATTCACAGACTGAGGAAGCGCCCGTGCTACGTCAGAAATACTTACTTCATGACGATGTGCCCGAATGAATTAACATGGAGCACCACTGTGTCTATTATTCTAGCTAATTCTCTGTCCAAGAAGCTCCAATCGGGTCAATTGGGAAGTTTGGGCCATTGCCGGCCAGTACAGATTGACCATGCGCCTACATTGTATTCCCGCTTTGCTTCTCCTGGCCTTGTACGCCAGCGGCTATACCATCCGAGAGAGCTCCTATGATGAGTGAGCTTGTTGCCCGATTGTCTGCGCCCCCCAACCGTTGGACTGATTGGATTCAAGTGTCGACCGTTGGTCTCTTCGTGATCAACATGACAACAGCGAGTGGCTCGTCGGCGTGACTCATCGTACCGAGAACAGCTCCCAGCAGTTGCACCCCACGGTGCGGGAATTCGGCGACCTCATCGAGAACCGGCCGCATCTCAGGATGCTCTTTGCGCTCATGTCTCAGGACGTTCCTCAGGGTCCCCGCTACCTCCACGATCTTAGTGGACGGCCCCAGATCCGAGACTATCGCCACATGCTGCGCGTACTCGACCACCTTATCCAGACGGCGCCGGCCTACAGCACCCGGAAAAACCGCATGAGCTAGGCCGGAATCCCACTGAGCGCCCTGCTAAATTGGCCGATGGGGACGCAGAGTGGATTTGCGGCCTTACTGGATCCCGAGGTAAATGCCATGATCAAGAAAATCCTGGGCACCTGGGGCGAAAACCTGCAGTCCCCGGACTCGATCCATGTCCTTGGCAGTGCTCCCACCGACTGGTTCGGACCGACGGGTCTCGCCGACCTGACTGAAGTCGCGAACATCGGACACACGAACTATGCTTTTGACGAAATTCTTATCGCCAACGGCACAGTACCGTACCGCGGCTTTCAGCCCTGGGACGATTTCTTCATCCGGTCCTTCCGCGAGGGCATCCGTCCCGTCGCGGGCAATGACAGCGTGATCGCGAATGCCTGCGAGTCGAAGCCCTATAAGGTGCAGCACAACGCGAGCGCCCACGATCAATTCTGGGTCAAGGAACGGCCATATTCGATTGTGGATATGCTGGGTGGCAATCCGCTCTCCGAGAAGTTCATCGGGGGCACAGTCTACCAAGCCTTCTTGAGCTCCCTGAACTACCATCGCTGGCACGCGCCGGTCTCAGGCCGCATCATGAAAGCATTCACGTTGAATGGGACCTACTACTCGGAGCCCCTCATCGTCGATCTCGCCGCGCAGGAGCAAAGCCATGACTATCTCGACGAACTGAACCCGATTGCCGCGCAGCCGTACCTCACCTCGGTGGCCACCCGCGCGGTGATCTTCATCGAAGCGGATAACCCGGCCATCGGAACGGTGGCGTTCATTGGCGTCGGGATGGCAGAGGTGTCCACTTGTGACATTACAGTCAAGGATGGCGACCATGTCCACAAGGGTGACGAGTTGGGGATGTTTCACTACGGGGGGTCGACTCACTGCCTTCTGTTCCAGAAGGGCGTCAACGTGACACGATTTCCTGCGACAGGTCAGGCTTACAATGTACCGGTCCGGGGTCACTTGGCGACTATTGGTTGATCGCGCTTGAAAAAAAAAAACGCAGGATGTCATGCTTCTTACCCTTCAATGAGAAGACGAGTCGCTTGTGGTCCTAGAGTCTATAACAGCTCATCATCTCCACTAGGCTTCTTACATGGATCCTCCGATATACCAGTAGATATCAGACTTGAAAACCATGAAATTGGTTAATGGTACCGCAACAGGCCTGAGTGAAATCTAAAGACGCACATATGCATAGTATTGCCTATTTTTGATCCTGACCCGGAACGTATCGATTTTTCGAGCAAGCTGAAATGGTGGGTGCGAGCAAGATTGTCGCAAATCAGCACGGAAACTTTCATTGACAAAAATACCATGGACACATGAGATCAAATGAAAAACTAAATAAAACATCAATGGCCTGTTCGGGAATCGTGGTTAGACGTGTGAGGAACTCATCTCGCTTGCTATCTCACTCTGTTCATGATTCCCTTCGGCGACAGGAAGTGATACCATTGGAGGTGCTGGGGATGCAAGAGGAGAGGTGAGAAGATGGGAAAATAGACCCTTTCCTTTGTTGACAGGGGTTGATGGTCTCGCGCGGGACCGCGATGTAGGAGAAGGTTTGTAAAGACGGGCATAAGGCCGATTCAATTTCCTCTTACTCAATTGCCCCGTGGTTGCAGTGGGAACAATCTGCCCGAGTCCTGGTCTTTTAGTTTCTTGAAGGTGGTTATCTTTCAATGGCGAAGGTTCTGTATAGTAGCGCTCCGTACTTTCCCCCACCCTTGCATTACTTGTACGGTCCTGCGCTTTGAGCATAGCACAGCAAAGTTCTTCGAGAAACGGACGTGGAAGCTTCGCTCGATGACTCAGAAACCCAGCCTGAGATGCAGTTTGTGCCCAATTGTCAACCATAAGCAACCGTAAGGGGGATTGAGGACAGGTGTGGTTGTAGACGTAAACAATCTGGTCGCAGTCAAAAAACAGATTAGGCATTTCATCCAGCTCAAAGTTGCAGAGTTCTATAACATGGTTTTGCAGTTCAACGATCTGGAATTTAGCAGCTAGGATCCATAATCGTAGCAAGAACAAAACCCTATTACGAGAAGGCAAGTCAATGGAAGTGTCACCGCTGTACACCCAACCTAACAGCTCCGCGAAGAAATCTGGATCATCGTTCGGAAAGCAAATAGGATTGGATGGGATGCGTTTTTCAGTGCGATTACTGAGCAGCGAGTCGAATTAGGGAGAAAAACTGCATAACAATTCCACGTGAACATCGAATGGAGTCTCATCAGCTCCCACGTAGATATGTACCATTCCAGATTCCAGCACTTAGAGCACTGAAAATTTTTGGTCAGTATGTGAAACATGAAAGACTCTTCCAGTGTTCGCGTAAAATTTCCCAGGAGATCTGGCCATCACGAGAAATTTGTTTCAGAGGGGTTTAAAATATTCTGAGGGTGCCCAAAGTTCTGCAGGGAAAGACCTTTTGTCTTCGCCGATCCAACCCTACACAATTCCAGAGTATTGTACACCACTATCTCGTCCCGGTGTACTGCGCCTTGGTGTAAGGGCAGGCGGATGTCTTCTTGTGCGCAAGAACACGATAAACTCTGTTGACGGTGAAGTAAAGGCCTTCAGCCTGGATGTAGTCTCGAAGGATACTTGATGCCTCATATAAAAAGTCAAGAGAATCCTGTGAGGGAAGATTGGGTGTACTCAAGGATCGTAGTCCGTACAGACAAGCGAGTGGTTTCCTGTGATTCCAGTGAGAATGCTCTGAGGCGGGGTACATGGCTAGTAGTTATATCAACTGTCGCGCGACCGAGGCGGCCGCCTCGCTCACCCCGACTTACCCCGAGTCGTCGATTGTAAGGTGGCTCACCCGCTAGCTATTAGCTTACTCGCATAGCACCCAGCCGCCAGAAGGTTGGTAAGACAAGACTACTTGGTTACGTGGCCAAGAGCAAATCCCTTCTCATGCATCTCTACTTCTTTTTTCTTCTCGTTAAAAGTCAAGTCCGTGCCTCCGGGACTCTGGCCTCTGTGGCTCGCGGGCCTTCCCGACCGGTTCGGCTGTGGGACTGTGGGGGAACGTCTTAGTCGATCACCCGTACAACGATTCTGTCCCCTATGCGAAGACATGCGTATCTCAGTAGGCGTTCAGCTATAATGGAAATTGCCAGAATAGTAGTTTTTGGTGTAGTGTCTATCAGTAAAGATGTCAAGGTATAGTATGTATGCACAGTGAGAGAAACTCGTCAATATTCTTGCTAGGTCAGCACCAGAGGTTTTAGCTATCAAGATTAGGTTCGTTGTTATTTTGGTTTTGCGGTAACAGTAGGTTGCTTGGCTCGGCCTGAGTATATTTTGACTTGTACCTGTATTAGCCGATCGCTGTCATGAGAATGTCGAAGAATATCATCGTAGAGAGAAAATAATGATTGACCCAGCAATATCACCCTTCCCTTCTGATATGTTTTATACTAGCAGATTAAAGACTAATTTACGGACTAATCTAGAGGCTATAAAGAGTAAAAGGGAAAAAGGAAAGGAACCCCTGAGAACAGCGTGGTCGGCGGATGAATTCACCAACATAATTGATGGAAACCGTACCCCTTATGCCACCTTACACTTCTCCATTAATACAAAACGATGAGGTATTCTTTTCGGTGGCTAGATCATCCCATTGACCATGTCAACCAATCACAACCCTGGTCATGTGTGACAAAGTGACATCCCATCCATGCGTCCATGCATCAAATGCGGGGTAACACAAAGGAGGCCGGGGGGTCAACAAAGCACATAAAACCCATCGGTGATATTCCGAACGCGCCCCGACCATCTTCTCTCCCCCCTTGTCATCGACAAGCTCTCCAACAGACGCGCCACCACTTTCACCCTCCGTTCCCTCTGCAAGTTCGACTGAATTTCCTCCCATCCAATCGAACCCTCCGACCAAGCTTCAATGGCAAGCTCAACAGCCTCTCTTATACGGCACAGCCACGCCAGTCAGTCACCGACCACCAACATCGTGAAATACTACATCCCGAAGTATCTGCTCCCATGCTTTGCGCCCGTTAATCTCCCGACCATCCTGTCCCTCGCCTACCGGGGGGCCAGTGTCGAAGGACAATATCCTAGGGTCATCCTAATCAGGTACGGAGCCGAAAGCACGGCATCTATGATAGATTTCTCTTCCCTTCCAATGCTTCCTTGAAGCCATCACAGCACACAAGCCAGGTTCCAAAGGCTAACCCAATCTCTTTCGACCTCCCCACCAGATCCTCCATCCACCTCACGAGATACCGAAAAAGGGGCCGGACCAAACAGCTCCGGAACACCTGGCACATGACGATCAGCTACAAGACCGCGGCCCACCTGGCCAAGGGCTCCCACCTGACGGCGCATATTTACGTGATGAATAAGCATCACCCGGTGTTTCTGCGAGCCAATCTCTGCGGTGAAAGACCGGATACGGCGAAACAGGCGTCAGGGCGGGCAGTTTGGGGATCGATGGATAACTCGGAGCATATTACGCGGGAGGTTGCATATGGATACCTTCCACAATGGGAGCAGAGGATGTCGGATACGTGTGGTCGGGCCTATACATCTCGTGAGAAGAGGCAGCCGTGGGAGGGGCGAGGAGGGCTGATTCGTTTCGTCTTGAGCCGCGAAAAAGAGACCATCAAAGAGTAGCTCTCTGGAATTTTCAATGTGGTCAATGTCTTGCGAGTTAGCGTGTTGTCATTTTCTGTGTTATCTATTCCCGTCTCCTTCGTCTTCTTCTATGCTTTCTGTATCAAGTCTGTTGTTGTTTGACATGAAGAGTATCGTGCTCCATGCCTCTCACATTGAGCTACACCCACAGAAACCCCTCACGAGTCAAATGGCCGAGATCTCATCCACATCCCCCTCTATCCGATAACCAGCGTGTCCTCGGTCGGGAAGCTATACTGCGGAACTTCGAGATTGGACGGGGCGGGGCCCTTGCGTGCCCGTCCGGAGATGTCATAGTGCGAGCCGTGGCACGGACAGAACCAGCCCCCAAAGTCCCCAGACTCCCCAATGGGCACGCAGCCCAGATGAGTGCAGACACCTTGAACTAGTCAGTAATTCGTCCCCAAAGCACAACTGTCAACCTACCCAGCATAATCAACCACTCCGGCTTCAGCACGCGCTCCTCGTCCGGCTGTGGATCACGAAGAGACTTCCAGTCCGTCTTACGCGCCTCCTCGACCTCATTCTGCGTGCGATGCCGGATGAACACAGGCTTTCCGCGCCACTTGATGATTATCTAGACGTGCAGCACTTTTAGCATTTGTCGGACCTGGAAACCGGTAGGGCAAACTCATGATCGTACATTCTTCCCCTCGGGAATCGCACCGAGGCCGATCTCGACCTTTGCTTGCGCGAGGACATCCGCGGATGCGGACATGTTGGCCAGAAAGCCTGTACGTTTGTATTCCACCTGTTAGAGTGAATTCTCCGCACCATAAATGCTATGTGAAAAGACACGGATGGACTGCATCGGGGATTGCTCCACTAACTCGCAACCGTATCCTTAGCTCCCACAGCCGTGGTGACGCCCAGCGCGCCCGCCATAAAATACGCGATGTTCTGGTGGCCCCGGGGCGGCCCGCGGGTTTCGTAGGCCTTGAAGCTGGGGACTTTGAGGGTGTCGTAGGTTCCGCGGCTGGGGGTCACGACATATTCGGGCGTCTCTGCCCGCTTGGGTCCGATGTCATTACTGACGAAGGCGGTTTGGATATTCAGCACGGGAATGAGTGTGCGTTGGGGGTTGCGCAGGACGGTTCGCGTGACTAGGGTGAGGGACATTCTGGCACGCTTTTGTGGGCTGTAGGGGAGACGTTGACGAGGAGATTCTGGAGGAGGTTAAGGATTGTAGCTCTCGGGAAAAGGCTATTACAGGCTTAATATGCATTTAAATTGGCTTTGCGTTAACGTCAGCGGTAGGTCAATAGAACTTGTTTGTGGTCGTGTGTTGACTTCAATGATTACTCGATTGACTTTCTCGGGTCTCTTCCCGCGCAGGTGTTGCGCTGTGCAGTGAAGTATATGGAGGCGCGGGCAGATCATGTTTCATCCGGTGGTCTGGGCGTCGATGGACCGTCCGGCTCTTGAGCTTATCTACTTCATATCTGTCTACCCGGTGTAGATCTCCCGTACGAGACATGAAACTTGGGAGCACGACATCAGCACCGTTGAGCCGTAGTGCTGTTGAAGGACTGCAGTGGCTTGTGTCACCGAGCAAGGCTTGAGGGTGCAGTGCAAGTCTTGCTTCGCTTTATGCTCTTATCGTCATCTGCGGTCGTCAGATGTATGAATCACTCTATCTGGGTACCTAGTAGGTTCGAGATTAGTTCATGACTGTTAGGTTTTGCGGGGTGAGAAGCCAAATGTGGAAGCCGCGTCCTTCACCGTGGACATTGGGCCAGCGCGCACGATGATAGAGCGTTATGTGACAACAAAGCAAACATCCATAAGACTGCCTTCTCCCTCGTCTGTCTTTTCCCCCTCTGTATCTTTCTGAATTCGAAGCCACCACATCCCCATCGGGGCTCACTCGCCTACAAATCATCCAAGCCATTTCGATGGAGTTTCCCACCTACCTCATCACGCATATTCACACCGTTTATCATTGACCTCGGTCGGGTACACGTTCCATTCAACGATAAAGGTGTGTAGTACAAGAAACTCTCCAAGACTCCACAACTCATTCAGTTACCCACCACAAGGCCCTTCCTTTGAGTCCCCTGCCATAGTCGTCTCGATGTCTTCCTTGTTGAAATTATCAATGGGGTTTCAATCTCAAACAATGCCGGGTTTCACCAAGTCTACTGTGGAGGATTGATAATTAAAGGCGAATTAGAACCATCTGTCCTGGTCGACTAGAGGGTTAGATCCACTATTGTCTTACTATTAGCACCATACATATAAACAAGAGCTTAGTACAATTATATTATGAAATTTCAAGTCTTATTAAGCTTAACTACAAGCAATAAGGAGCTAAATTCGAAAGGAACATAACTTAACACCAAGCAACCCTTCTAGTCAAGCCTGTAGCCCACACTCCATCGAGGAGGATATTGTAGTTTAAACCCGATGTGTGGGGCTTAGAATCTGACTTAATCAATTAAACATTCAAATGAATCTATAGCCAATCGATCGAAATCCCGCCATCGTCATCCGAATCCTCTGGAGCGTCTAGATGGGCCGAATTCTCTTCATGTATAGGATCTTGCGATTCGTGCGATTCCGATGATATCTCGCCGTTGTCCGAATCCTCTGAATCCTCTGAGCTCGCTGAATCTTCCGAAGCGTCCAAATCGTCTGAGTCGCTGCCGTCGCGTGAGCCGCTTGAGCTGCTCGAGTCACTCCAACCGTCCGAATCTCCCGAGCTCTCGGAGTTCTCCGAGTCTTCGAAGTCGTTCAAATCCTCCACCCAGTCGCCCACAATCGGATCCTCCTCCCAGAACTTCAAATACCACTTCAGATCCCGAATCCGGCACTGCGCCCGCCACACCGCATCGGGCGGCCACCGCAGCCCGCCCAGGTCCCGGGTAACGGTGAATCACCGGTTGGGCGCCCAAGATTCCCAGTTGTGTAATCTTAACTTCGTCCGACATCGCGAACAGAACTCCAGTGGCTTCGGGTAGCAGGATAGACGCAGCAAGCATCTATGCGGACATGCATCATACGGGCTCCTGACGGGCGGTAGCTTGCGGTGGCAGAGGTGGTACTTCGTGCGGGCCACGACACTCTTTCGCTCTCTGTCAAGGGATATGGTCACTTGGGCAGTGAAAGCCTCATCCCCATAAAAAGGCATGGGGCATTCGTGTACGAGAACCTACGAGAACCCGGGTTTTGGATCCTTTCTCTACCACTGTAAAGCGGTGGTCGTCCTTGATGGCGGGATACTGATGGTCGTAGGGCTGAGCGGGGCCGCCAGCGAGATAGCGGGCTATTCGAAACTTTTGGCGATTGGTAAGGGTGATGCAGGAGCAGAGATAAAGAGGTTAACATTGAGGGAGGTTAAAAGCTTGATTGTCATTTTGACAGACTCTTGGTCAGGTAAAATTCCATATAATAAATACATTAACCGACAAGCAATCCCCCACGCAGGCAGGCAGGACAACAGAAAAAAAAAAAAAAAAAAAGGCAAAACCACCAACGGAAACCGCACCTGGCCCACCACCAGCGACTAGGAGGGCTGATGCACTACGTGCGACCTTTATCGAGGTCTCTGGCCAACCCAGGCGCCACGCGCAACCTTGATCGAGGTCGTTGGCCAGAATCAACCCTCCTAGCCGCTGCTCCATTGCTTCGCTCCCCCGCGGAGTCGCTGCTGCCAACGCCTCTCTACAGAGCTTGGCCAAGAGGTCGAGGATGCGTTGCCGATGCTCCGGGATAAGCCAACGGAGCTCGAGGCAGCAGTACTGTAGGGCTCTTAGAAAGGTCTTCGAAAAGCTTCCTGTAGTACTTACCCTGCACTCGTAAAGACGATAGAAGTTAAAGTGATCGCCGTCCGATAAAAGGCCAAAGACTGGCCGAGGGACTTTGCCAGCGACTTGCTGGTAGTGTTGGACACACTACTCGGGCACTTAATTAATAAAACAAGATTTTTGAAGACCCTCAAAAGCCAGTCGCATGTACGAAAGAAGCTGGGGTACCCCCCGCTCAAAGCCTCAGCTGTCTTAGCCTTAATGGCGACTAGATGTTCCGTCTCTCGTCCCCGTCCCCGTCCCCGTAACAGAGGGACTAGTCCACTTTGCCCTCCAGTTCAATCCAGGGGCCCGAGAATCTCGTCTGCATAGGCGAATCATACTCTAACTGAACCCCATGCTCAGCCTATTCAGGGGTTGAAAAACTATTCATAATCCCTATAAGGGAGACATCAAGGCCACCGTGGCGGTGGAGTCGAAGGAGGCGTCTTTGTGGGTATGGTGGATGGATGCCTTGTCTTTAATATCGATGACAATCATAGTGGGTGTACTCGTGAACGGACGACAATCCGCCACCGTTCAGGTGGACTTTTTCGTTGGAAAGAAGACATAATGTGACTGCTTGAAAAAAAGCCCGGGACCGGCGGTGGAGCTAGGGCTTTTGCTGCCTTTGCAGCCTCTTCAGAGCTGGCGGGCTCCAGGTTGAGATCTAAAGCCACTTATCAATGCCTATCCATTTGTCTTCCTCACTGAATATCGATAATACCTGTTTGCCTAAGCATCTTTACGATGCGGCGAAGGTCTTCCCCTGAAGAGAGGGTATGCGATATATTCGGGGGATACGATCTATGTAAGCATAAATGTTAGCCTTCTCTATCTCTCTCACAGTTGAAAAGAAACAGACGCGAATAGCGAAAGATGCTCCCAGTGGGAAGCGCCAACAGACAGAGGCATGAACAGAGAGACTTTGACTGCATTGGCTATGGACTTACCGAGTATTCATCCGGGCCTTTCTCGGAGGTTTACTCCTGCCACCATTCACAAGGCATCAAGCGTGATGAGGGACATGGCCAGGGCGATCAAAGCCATAGTGGCCGCCGGTCCTAGGATCTGCCAGGAGATGACATTGTCGGGGGAAAGTTCGTACCCACGTGGGGGCTTTCATCCCGATTTCCTTCATCGACTTTGATTTGCCAAGAAACAGGGCGAAATTCTGGTTCAAGAGCGCCTCTATTGATTGAGGTGCTGGCTGACTTGGTCTTCGGACTCATCGATACCAAGAAAGACTCAATTGCATTGTGGAAGGCTTGTAAGGCTTGTAAGAAAGAGGAAACGATGCGTTCATCTCGAGAGAACAGAACTGAATCGCGCAAGGGAAGGTGCGGGAAGGATGTCTGAGATAGATAGTAGGAAAGGGAGGAATTCTGCATGTAGCGCAAGTTAGGAAGGAGCTAGCTTGAACCATTCTATTGTTTGTGAATGGGAAGCGTAAGCTTGTTCGTGATATTATGACAGTGCTGCATCATAGAGAGTACGTATTACTACAGTGAAGGGCTTTATGAGTATCAGGTGTTCACCCGATGTCACTTCGATGATTCACCACGAAAGTACAGTGAATTCTTAGGGCTGTGTAGAGAGATGTCTACCCATCTTGAAAGGTTTGCTCGGAGATAGATCCAAACCGGTGAGTTGTCCCGTGGCAAGAAAGTCCCAGAATGGGCTGGCTGCCATGCTCCCGCCTAGTAAGGGAGAGTGCGCCTGAATAAACCTCTCTCATCGCCAGCAGGCAACGCAGCCTGTTCAAGCATTCTTGTAAGCATCTGTTTAGGCCCTATTTCAGGTAGAATTTGAGAGAAACAGGGCATTGAAGCCTTAAGGAAGTTGGAAGGATTTCCTCTCCGTAACCTCGGGAGAAATGGTATTTTGATCTCCCTTCCGAGGAAAGGACGCAAATCCGCATTCAATTTCGGTTTACCAGATGACGTTGTTAACGCTAAGGTGAAGTAATACCTAATCTGAATACCTAGGAAAAGAAACAAGATCTGCCGTAAAATTGAAGGAAGAGAACCTCGGGCACTAATACAAGGGAGGACCTATCTCCAGTACAGATATAATTTGAAGCACCACTCGGATAGTTGTCGAACGAAAGGCAGTTGCACAGCCTGCAAAATGCCTTAAGCTACGCGACGTACCACCATCCGCACGCGATCCGCATCCTTCATGCGGAGCAGCAACTGCATGTCCACATCCTGCGTGGTCGCCAGCACCCTTGCTTGGGTTTCCCGGAAACTTTCGCCGGGATTGGCGATGGCATCGATGCGATGCGCTCGCAGGAGTATGGCCATGATGGCGACAAACTCCACCTGTGAGAACTTATTCCCAGGGCAGTTCTGTGGTCCGTCCGACCAGGGCAAAAAGCTGCTCCGTGCGGGGGTGATGACCCGCTCGGATGCTTCGGCGACCGTGATCCAGCGCGAAGGCTTCCAGGCCATGGCTTCGCTCCAATACTGAGCGTTGATGTGCATCGTTAGTAGGCTGGGGTGGACTCCAACGTCGTTGGGGACGACAATCGTCCGACCACCGACTTGAAGGCATTGCGGCTCGCTACTGGTCCGCTTCGGCAAGGATTGAATTGGGGGGAACAGGCGGAGAGTCTCGAGCTGTCAGATTGGAAGAATAGAGAAGTATACCTTACTGTCAGTTGTTTCGCGGATAGAGGGCAAACAACGGACAAGGATATGTGCGCAGGATAGGCTTACCAAAATGGCTCGACAGCGCCGAAGGCGTGGAAAGAGATCAGCATAGTGATTCTTGATCTCTTCGTCAGTGAGTCCCTGCAGCTCCTCAGCCACCCAATCTTGAACTTCGGGATATGCCGCCAGCAGGAGTAAGCCAAAGGCAAGGGTGTTGGCGGTGGTATCGTGGCCCGCAAAGTTGATAACAAAAATGTTCCCGAATATCTCATCCACCGTAAGGCCCTTGGGTGGGGAGCCCGAAGCTGCAGTCCCACCCTCCGCATCTGCCTTCTGTTTTAGGTCCATGGCCCGCACAAAGGATGTCATCAGACCCCCACTGCCAGCCTGTCCGTAATTTAAAGCCTTGGTCTCTTCATCCAACATACGCACCATGTATCGCTGAAAGTCATCGGCTGCTTTGGCAATTTGACGCCACGATTGAGGCGCGAAGGGAAGCGCCAGCCATTTCCGTCCCAAGACCATGAGAAAAATGCAGTTGTCCAGGACTGTTTGAAGAGCGTCACGGTAGCCTGCCGATGCAACCGGGGAATCTGCGTCCTCTTTTCTAGGAGTGGAATGAGGCTCCTGAGCTACGGGGTGGTCATTAGCACTCTGGAAAGGAAACGACTTGCGAAAGCCAGTCGCAGCAAGGACGTTGAGGGATAAGGTGCGCGTGTCCTTGGCGACACTGGTGATTTGACCTTCAGCGGCACCATCCCATGCTTCGAGCATCTGCCGTGTCACACGAAAGACATGACACTCTCATTGAACGGAGTGGCAAGGACCTTGCGGTGGCGTGGCCAGTCCGTCCAACTGGCCGTAGATATGCATGGCCCATAAACTTCCAACACTTCTATATCAGGGCAAGGGTCAGATAGTCTGCGGATTGGCGACAGAGCGAGATGGAAGGTCCACACGTACTGTACAGGTGACTGGGCCGGATGAAGTCGGTTCGACGCTGGAAAATATCATGAATGGCCTCCGGGTCGGCGACGTTGACGTAGACATCGCGTGGAGTGACGATTGCCCAGATTGGGCCATAGCGACGATGCGATTCCCACCGGTCGGCAAAGTACCAGCCGCGGCGGGAGTATCGTCCGAAGCTATAGTTGTGTCAATTGATGGGGAGCCGGTCAAGCCACGGCCAAATAATAGGCTCAAGAACCATCCATAGAGGATTCATTGGATCGGTGTAGAGGCGCACCAAAGGAATTCGCATAGTCGAGGCTCGCCGATAGTTTCTTCTCCATCGACATAATGCTCCATGACAGATATGAAAAGAACAACAGGCCGAGAATCTCGAGAATCATGATGCTACACACAAACAATAGGATGTAATGATAAGGGACTAATCATGAAAAAGAGCAAGAGCAAGGTAGGCAGGCGAGAGGTATGTGGAGAGGAGAGTGGGAGGATAAGCGGAGAGAGAGAGAGAGAGAGAGAGAGAGAGAGAGAGAGAGAGAGAAAAGAGGAGGCAAAAAGGAGTAAGCACCTACTAGATACTAACTGTGCTTACTGTAACTATTTAGGCAGCCTTACAGGGGTCCAGCTCGTCTTGTCTGGCTGGAGGCTTGTATCTTAGATTGCGTTTGCATGAGATCACCTTTTGAAAAAGGGAGGGAGGAAAGGCATATGAGCCGAACTCTGTGATTATACCTTTGAAGTCTAGCCTTGCAAGACTGGGAATTCAAGGCAATACTTCCTACAACCTCAATCTATCAGATACCTTTTTTTGAAGACAAAACCACCGACTGGATCATCATCTCGGGAATGCCTCGTCGTAATAATGATTGTATTGTATAGAAATCGCGGGGCCAAAGGCTCACCGCCTTTGGATGCTCCGCAAGAGGATCGATCCATCGGAGCGGGCCGGGCGACCATTCACTCAGCCACGCTCCACTCTCCCCATCTCCATCTACATCTAGAGAATGCCACCGTTGTTCCTTTTGAGCTCATCTTCAATGTGATACGATGCTCGCTCTCTTGCCTGGCGAGCTCCTTCTGTGTGTAGCCAAGCACCTCGAGAGCACCGCCGACATCAACGCTATAGCCCGCACATCGACCTATTGCTACTCTCTCCTGAACCCCCTTCTTTACCGATATGATTTCAACTATAGCGAGTACAGCAAAGCTCTTGCCTGGGCCGTGCACATGGGCACAGAAGGGACCATTCGACACTGGCTGGAGGCCTCACGCCCGATAACTACAACTCCCTTCATGACGATCACCGCCAGCATCATCACGACACAAGCCACCGCCGCCGCCGAAGCTTTACCAGAAGCCGCCAGCCACAGGTATGAGTCTATTGTGCGCCTCCTTCTCACCGTGGACGGCCTCCCAGTCAACCGACGGGATGGCCGCGGCGAGACGGCTCTGGCACGAGGAGTAGGCCACGAGACGATCGTGCGAATGCTCCTCGCCCACCCGGGCATCGATCCGAACGCCAGGGAATCTGACGGGATGACCCCGCTGTGGCGCGCGCTGCAGCAGAACCAACTCCCCACATTGCAACTTCTGCTAGACGCTGATAGAATAGATCCGAACGAGTCGCTCGATGGGAATGAACGGAGCGAGACCCTCCTATGGTGGGCGATACATTACGGACGCATTGATGCGGTACGATTGCTTCTCGCGCATCCGCAGCTTGACCCGAATCGACATTATGCAGAGCCTCCCCTATGGCGCGCAGCATGCGATGGAAACGTGGCGATGATGAGACTGCTCCTAGCTGACGATCGGGTGGATCCCAACTTGCGGACTGCGGCCGGGTCGACCCCGCTGGGAGTGGCAGCGTACAACGACCTGGAGCCGGAAGTTGACTGTCTAGTGGCGCACCCTGGGACTGACGTCAATGCGACCGATTGTGAAAGCAAGGGAACGCCTTTGATGATTGCCGCGCGCCGGGGACACGAAGGGGTTGTTGCACGGCTGCTGGCATGCGACGGCGTCGATATCGATGCGACCCACGTGGACGATGGGGACACGGCCCTCTGCCGAGCAGCACAGAGCGGACGGGACGGGATTGTTCGCATGCTGCTGGCCACGGGTGAGGCCAACCCTGACCACAGGAATTACGGCGGTGTGACGCCGTTGTGGGATGCGACCCATCGTGGTCACGTTCCAATCATCAAAGCTCTACTTGAAACCGGGGCTGTCGATACGGAGATCACGGGAGCCAGCGGATACACCCCTCTTCTTATGGCCACCGCGGCGGGTAGTGTGGACGGCGTGGAGCTGCTGCTTGCTGCTGGCGCCAATCCTGACTTCATTGGTCCTTGGAAGGTAACCCCAATCTCCAAAGCTGTTCGTGCTGGATACACGAGCATTTTACGTCTTCTCCTGGCCTCGGAGAGGTTAAATGTGAATTGCCAGAATCTGAGGGGACAGACTCCTTTGATTGAGGCGGTTGAGCGCGGGAACCTCGAGATGGTCAGCTTACTGCTGGCTGCCAAGAATGTAGACGAAAATATCACGGATTTCGGAGGGCAAACACCCCTAACCTTGGCAGAGAGGTATGGCGATGATGATATTGCCAACTTAATACGAGACCGCGGCTGCGCAAGGCTGGCTTAGCATAAGAAAGCCTTTGGACTCTTACCTCGTGACTTGTCTGTTCGACGACATGCAACAGGGATGTGAAACTCTGAGCAAATGCAGGCTTGCGCTATGATCGAGGTTTCTAGACTGCAGTGAGTGCTCGATCAGAGACGCCGAGTACCAGCTGATTCATGTACCTACTCTATACGTGGTTTCTGGATTGGCGTTGATCTAAAATGGCCGACAGAGTGGTCGAAGTCATTGGATGAATGAGGATTCTGTCAGGCCAGTTTGGTCTGCTTACCGTGGCCCGGATTTGACTTCCGATCACTTCCAAGTCACATAATGAAGCAACTATAAGATATGACGCGCGAAGTGGTCATCCCGTGACTCAGGCCTCACCTCTTGATACCAGTCTCAAAACCAAACTCTTGTTCTTCTTACAATCACTCCAAATATTTTAGACACCATGACTATCTCCCACTACTCTGAAGACCATTACCAAAGGATTGGCGCCGGTTTCTGCGGCACAGTCTGGACACGAAGCCCAACAGGGTCTGCCATCAAGCGAGAAGATGGAGGACCCTCTCGATCACTCGCCAACGACTTCACAATGCACAATCAAGCCTACGAGGCTTTCCTCAGCTTTTCAGACGCGAAGCGCAACATGAGAAACCCACCGACGCAGCTCCAAGCGCGCATACCTCAGTGCCACAAATACATCACCCCACAGGACCAGTCCTGGTGGGACACAAATTTCCGATGGTTCCCCGATGGATACACAGCCTGCAATGCGATCCTGTCCGAGCGAATCCCGCCTTTTCCCGAGCACACCAGACGTCTTCTCGTGGACAGGTATTGTCCTCCTGAGCTCCGCCAAGACATTCACCGCAGCGCCAGCAACGAAGCCTGTCTCATCCGACCGTACATCGGCCGCCAGCGCACCTGCAGCACGGCGAGGAACGGCCGATCTCGATTCCGAGGGTTTTCCCTCCGCAACTTCCCGCTGCATATCGATCAGATGATGGAACTGGGGATTAGCATCGAGGATGTCGACTGCTACGCTGGTATGATGGGCGAAGCACTCTCCACATTTCACTGGGTCGCGAGGATGGATGCAAACGACGTCGAGATTGTTTTGGCTCCGATTTCGCCAGCTGAGCGCAACAGAGCCCCGGACCACAGCAGCACCAGCAACATTATCAGAAATGTCTTGGGGACACATACCATGTGGATCCTGGACTTTGATTTGTGTCACTCCATCTCGATGGACCGGCAGGGTGTTCAGCAAGCGGTCGAGGCTTTCTTCAAGAACGACCCCTTTTGTCCACGGCCGCACACGGCACACTGGCCTGCTTTTCGCAATCAATATCTAAGTGCTGCTGGGCGGATCGCTCGCATCTACCATAAGGATGAGGTGGGTGCTATATACAACCTGGCTCGTCAGTTTGTCACGCTTATAGAGGCGAGGGGTGAATGTTCCTGCTCAAGCTGAATGATGATGATACACACCAGAAGGAAGATGCGATGGGCATGGCAGGCCTTAAGTCTCCTTAAGCTCTCCCTTGGTCCGCTGGCTCAACGAAGTAAGAGATTGGGATCGAATAGACCGATTGGATGAACACAGAAAAAAGCTCAAGATAATGATTAATACAAGCCAAATCGGTTCAACACAAAATCTATCGAGTATTTACAATCCCACAGCCAACAGGCCAAAACAAAGAAAGCTCAAACGACCTCGTTATCCACCTGCACCTTCCCCTCGACAGCCTCCCTCCAGACAACAACCCCCAACAACCCCACCGCCAACGCGCACAGCACCGCGAGAATCGTCATCCACCAGCCAAACCCAATACTCTGAGCCGCGATCGGCGAAACCACCGTGCCAACAGCAGCCAGCAGATTCCTTACCAGGTTCAGATCCGCGACAACGGCCGCCCCCGCGCCGGGCCGCACATCCACCAGGAACGGCATGACGGTGGAGGTGACGAGCATCAGCCCCAGCCCGAACAGAAAGGCGCCGACGAGTGGCGCCACCCAAAACACCTGGCGCTCGACCAGCCACCCGTACACAACCAGCCCGGCGGGCACGAACCCCACCCCGTACCACACCGTGCGCAGGCGCGCGATCGGGTGGCTCGTGCCCCCGTGCGCGGCCTGGTACCGGCGCAGCTGCGCATCACTCAGCTTGCCGCCGACGAGGCTGCCGATCGCGTACCCCAGGCAGTTGCTGATGTAGCAGAGGCCGATCTCGATTGGGGAGAAGTCGTAGGGCTTCGCCGCGTAGGCGTACGGCAGGGTCGTGTTGAAGCAGTACAGGCTGGCGAAGCAGATGCTGATGTAGGCGATTGTCAGGGCAATGGAGGGGACGAGCAGAAATTTTAGTTTGGAGAGCGGGGCAACGGCGTCTCGTTTGAGGGCTTGGTACCACCGCCGCTGCTGCTGCTGCTGCTGGGTCTCGTGGCTCGCAGCGGGTTTGGCGACTGTCTCTGGGAGGCAGAGCGTGGTGATGATGGCGGCGCCGGAGGTGAAGATGGCCATGAAGTAGAGGATCGAGCGCCATCCTAGCCAGACCTGGAGCGCACCACCAATGATGGGGGCCAGCAGGGGCCCGATCAGCGTGCCCAGGTAGAACCATCCCAGGGCCGATCCGCGCTCCGTCGGCGGGAAGACGTCACCGACGACGCCCGCACCTACGCTCTGGGCGGAGGAACAGCCCAGCGCCTCGATCAAGCGGAATACGATCATCAGCGCGAGGGAGTCAGACACGGCGCAGACGATCACTGCGATGGTTGAGAGGATGAAGCTGGCGACTAGGACTGGCCGGCGGCCGTATTGCTGGCTGAGCGTGCTCCACCACAGGGGTGCCACGGCTAGCCCTAAGAGGAATACGGTCGTGGTGAGCGCTACCTGCGTCTCCGTCGTGTGGAAGTGTTCCACGAGAGTGGTGAACGAGGGGAAGAGAATGCAGGATGCGAACGGTGCGGTGAAAGCAGAGAGGGTGATCACGGCCACGATGAGATGTTTCTGCCATGGTGAGTATGACTGTGGGTCTTCACGTCGGCGTAACAAGCATAAGCGATCAAACCAGAAGCGTGGTGGCGTCGCCGCAGGGGTTTTGGTGGATTCCGTGGATTCGATTGACGACATTTTGTTGATGTGGAGACGATCGCTTCTTTTTGAAGAATGGAACTCAATCGATGATTGCTTGTTTTGGGCGATAGAGACATGATTCTGGTGGAGAATGTCTGGTCATGTTATAGTCTGTGTCAGCGTGTAGGGCACGACTCTCCGAAGCATCGGGGTTTCGGGACTCCGGAAATTCACTTACACTCTTTTTTTTGCACTAAACCCGAAAACCCGAGTACGATAAGGAATCATGGATCCTTCCAGCTCCCACAGCCAATGCCATTCGCAGATGGGGCACGCCACAGAGCTGAAGCGGTAACTTATCGTTATCGTGCTGCCCTATTAACATTAATATTTCAGGGACTTTCCCACCCCCACGAACCCCCAACGTTCGCAAATGTCCGAAATGACTATTCCCGCTGCGCGCATTTCCCGAACACCACCACCATCAGCGCTGGAAAGATGAACAAGAGCTGCATCAGATGCGCCGAGTCCAAACTACGATGTAATCTCGACCAGCATGGATCGCCCTGTGCACGATGCCGTCACAAGGGCTGGCACTGCGAGCGGGCAGAGCGCAAGAAGCGCGCCCGCCGAGCCACGCCCCGGCAGACCAGCTCAATTCCATCCCCACCACAGACGAGCAGCGAAGGTCGATGGGATACCAGTCTCGACGTGAGCCCAGCCATCGATCCGTCCATCGACTGGCTTTCCCCCGGTCTGCTGTCGACCGACGACCTCGACTTTCTGAACCAGCTGGCCGACATCGAAAGCTTCGATACATTCGGTGACATGACATCGTGGGACTGGACACCGCCAGAAACGCCGTTCCTGCTGGACAGTACCAGTACCACTGCACTCAGCGAACCACCACGACCCATGACACATACAAATCAACCTCCATTCCCCGGCACACTCTTCAACACGGGGCCCATCATCGCCCCCGACACCTTTCGCCTGCCCGCCGATTTCGTCCTCGAGACCGAACCCGCCGCGGACGCCGGCCCGATCCCCATACATCGACTCGAGACCTACGCGCGACTCTTCTTCGCGCACTTCCACCCCCTCTTCCCCCTCCTGCACATCCCGACCTTCCGGCTCGCCTCGGCGCCCTTCCTCCTCATCCGCACCATCTGCTTCATCGGCGCAGGCTTCGCCCACGACCCGGCATCCGGCCCCGAAAGCAAACGCCTGTACAACGCGCTCCCGACCCTCTTCGCCAAAACCTGCCTGCGCTCGTCTGACATCCCCAAAGCCGAGCCCAGCCTCGCCGAACTCCAAGCCCTAGTCCTCAGCCAATGCGCCAGCACCGCCCTTGGCGGCAGCGCCGAGCGCGCCGCCGCACGGCTGCTGCACCCGCTGCTGGTCGCCGCGATCCGGCAGCGGGGGCTGCTCAAGGTGCACGGGGAGTGCACGCTGGCCACCCGGAAGGCGCGCGCGTGGGAGACGTGGATCGGCAAGGAGGCGCGCAAGCGCGTGCTGTGGGGCGTCTACGCCGTCGACTGCTACCAGGCGCTCCTGTGCGGGAGCAAGCCGCTGCTCTCGCCGCAGGAGACGCGGGCGTCGTTCCCGTGCGACGAGGCGAGCTGGGCGGCCTGGTCGGCGGCGGGGTGGGCGGCCCTCCCCGCGCAGGATCCGTCGAGTTGCTTCCAGTCCTCCGTTAAAGGGTTGATGGCGGGGCGGGAGGCGTCGACGGCCTCGCGGCTGACGGCGTGGGATTTGAATCTGTTGGTTCTGGCGATGCATTCGCTGCTGCTCGAGGCGCAGACTTCCATCCTGCCGGTGGATTTGTCGGCCATGGAGCGCGCGCTGCATGCGTGGAAGGCTTGTTGGGATGGGCTTGCTGGAGAGGGTGTGGAGCGGCAGCAGCAGCCTGTATCCCGTGCGGGGGGGCTGTTGATCACCAATAGCGTGACGCTGTACTACCTGGCTGTTTACCTTTTGAAGCACGGGCGACCGGAATTGGATGAGAGCGCGTATTTGGGGAAGTCGACGATTCCCGGGAATCCTCTTATCAAGAAAGAGGAGGTTTACCAGGAGACGATGACGAAATGGGTGCAGAGCATGCTGGAGGAGCTCAATCGGGGAGAGATGAGCGGTGTGGACGGTTTCTGAGGGATGTAAGCGTGGACGAAGAATTGCTGAGTATCCTATAGTGTGGCATGATCGCGTTCGTTGAGGCCGGTTCTGAAATCAAGGTCGCTTCAATCTTCCATGAGTATGTGATTTATCGCACGATCTGTTCAGCCCCTCGTCATCCCATGTTTCTAATGTGTCCATTCTCTCTGCTGTCCAGGAACAGCTATAAAGCATGACGACCTTCGCCTGGAATTAAGACTTGAAAAGTCGAACTGGAAAACAATTAGAGAATAGCCATATCTTTAATGTTCTTTGTCATGGTCATAAAGAATGCCCAGCTTGATCACGAAACATCCAAATCAGATATCAAACCAAGTCGTAGCCGCAGTAAGGTGCCCATGAATATACACAACATATCCATAGAATATAAGATCATTTCAATCACATCAAACCATAATATCGAAACATCGCCGGGCCTAGCTGAGATCAATCCTCCCAGAACAACCCATCCCGATTACCATCACACATCCTGCTCTCACCAGATCGATTACCCACAACCAGCTCAGTCCTCTCACACGACGACAGTACGGACACTAACACCTGCACAAAACACGGTCAGCTCACACCCACACCCCGTAAAATATCCAGAAACTCACCGTTGGTCGGACTCGCCGTCCCCATGACCCTATCATAGAAGCTCTGACTTGTCTTCTTCCGGACCACGCGCGGCACCACCAGCCCGTTCGATCCGCGCGAGCTCGACTCCCCATTGCTAAATTCTGTCACCATCGCCTCCGCCTGCTGCTGCTGCAACTTCGGCGCCGCCAACGCGGTGATCACCGGCCGCACGGCCGAGACCACGACGGGGGCGTACTTCATGACCGAGGGCCCGATCTTCTGCACCGCCGACTGGATCGCCGTGAAGAAGCTCTCCTCCTCGCCTCCATTGAGATCCACAAGGCCGTGATGCTGTGTAGTCTGCTGCTGCAGTGCCGAAGCTGGAAGGGGGAGTTGTTCGAGCTGGTCCAGCTGACTCGCGGGCAGATCGCGGAGCACACGCAAGGTCGCCCCGGCCAGCAGCGCGCGACGACCCAGGGTCTTCATCTGCTGGTCCATGGGCGTCTCCTCCTCAATGGCAGTATCGAAGGCACTCTCCGCCCCCTTGGCCTTAGTGTAAGGAATCAACTGACTCACGACCGACAGCCCCGTCTGCACGGCCCCGACCCCATGACTCGCCGCCGATAGGACCGTGCTAAATGTGCCCCAGAAACTCTCGTCGCCGGATGATTGCTGCGCCGCGCGGACCAGCCGTGTAGTGAAGGGGTCAGCACTGGCGTCTCTGTCATTACCTGCCATCGTGGCGGTGAACGAGGCCATCGAAGATGATGAAGTTGCCCGCAGCGCAGACACCTTGGCCGCCGACGCCGTGCCGAAGGTCACCATGGCGGACTCGGTGCTGGTGCCCGCCAGCACATCCTGGACGACCTGCAGCGCGGCGGGCATGACCACCGCGGGCAGAAGCCGGGGCGCCACCGCCTCTGCGTCCGCCGCCGCCTTCTGGTACTCGACCATGATCTTCGTGCTAATCCCCAGCTCCTTCATCTTCTCCGCGTCCGCTTTCAGGAAGGCTTGCAGGGCTGCTTCGGCCAGGATGCTCTCCTGCGCCGAGCCGGGGGACGAATTCCCTCCAGATAGGGCCGTGCTGGGACCATTGAGAACGGTAGTGGTGGTGGGAGTGGAGTCCACGAACCCACTCTCCGCGCACTTCTGCGCCGCCGCGGAGATGGCCGTGCCAGCCAGCGCGGCCACGGAGCCCCCGATCGGCCCCAGGAACGGGCTGACGGTCGTCAGGGCGCCGGAGACGATGGGCGCGCCGACGTGCAGGACGTCTTTGAGGTCGTCCCAGAAGTTCTCTTCGGCCGTGCGGGTCTGGCGCTCGCCGAGGCGGTCGACCACCAGGTACTGGATGCCGGTTTGCGGGTCGGCTTTCTGGACGGGGTAGGTTTGGGAGCTCTCGAAGACGCTGATGTAGTCTGCGTAGGGGTTGCCGAGGAGGAGGTCATCGGTGGTAGAACTGGTGCGGCTGATCGGGCTGGCGGAGTTGTTGCCTACGTCGCCGTAGACGTGGGCGCCGATGGAGATGTGGGGTTGGTTTGCGAGGAGGACGGGAGAGCCGGATTGGCCTGCCATCAGTGGCATTGTTAGCAGGGTCTAGATGGGGTTCAAACGGGGTTAACGGATCCGTCGTGGGTGTCTACCTTTGTAAGTATCGATGCGATACTCCAGCATGTTATTCGCAGCCGCCTGACGGTTCCACTGCACGGCCTTGAACTCCTCGTACATCTGCGCGCCCGGTTCGCCCTTGTACCGCATGTCACCAGGGTATCCCACCACCCCGATCGTGTCGGAGCCCGCCACGGGGGTGTCGGAGAACTGGAACGGGGTGACCGCCGTGAAGGGGCGGTCTAGCTGGATGAAGGCTACGTCGTTGTGGCGGTTCGAGGACGACTGCAGCCACCCCTCAGTGGTGACGATGCGGACCCCGTGCCGGAACTGCACGTTCGCCGACCGGCTGTCGATCGATCCTTTGCCGTTGTAGCCGATGTAGGCCTTGACCTCGTTGGCCCGGCCGAAGCCCTCCTTCCAGTCGAAGGCGCAGTGGCCCGCCGTCACGAGGAGGTCGTCCCGGATGAGCCAGCCCGTGCCCATCGCGTAGCGGGTGTCGTTGGGGGTTTGGCCGGCGTAGTGCATGAAGAGTTTCACGATGGCTGCGAGGGAGATATTGGGTCAGTATCTGGTGAGGAAAGAGAGGGGGGGGGGGGGGGGGCTGGGATAGTGGTCTTACAGCGGTATTTGCCCCCGGGGGCAAGGTGCATTGGGTCAACGAGCTGGCGCTCGTCTTCGAAGACGGATTCGCCGCCCTCCTGCTGCAGGCCGAAGCACGATTCGGCTGCTTGGGAGGGGGTGCTTTGCAGCGTCCAGGTGGCGGCGACGACAGGCATGATGTTAGTTTTGGTACAAAGGGAGAATTAAAATGTGTGAAGCAGGTGATAAGAGAGAGAGACTGAGAAAACTGTTGCAGAGAAGCTTGAATGCGATGATGATGAGAGCGATATTTCTGGACAGTTTGACCCCTCTTATAGTTTCGTCTTCGGTAGATACTTCCAACTCTTGCCGCTCGACTCCTTTCAGCTCTGTTGACGCATGTGTCTCCCTCAAAAGCCGTCCCCGTGGCTGGCTGAGACTATACTCCCCGGCCTCCTCAGCTGGAGGTCAGGTTTTGCGATGCGACTCTAAAGATGTGATAGTGATATGGCGTGTCAACCCAGACAGAAGGGTATCCGTTGCCGATGAACACAGTATCCTGCATTAGAACGTGCATACCATCCAGATTCTCAGATCAGATCTGGGAGCAGATTGGCCGGACAGTGTACCTGCTGAGGACTCCTTCGTATCAACTACTGCAAGATGCTAGTTCTTACATGCTGCAGGGGTAATCGTTCTTGGCAGGAGGGTTGAATGATTGTATCTGGATCTTGACATTCCCCAGCCCACAGCATATCCTAACATTGCTCTAGCTATTTCATCTGTGTTACAGCCAGCCTCTGAATCGTGAATTCACGATAAAAACACATGTCTAACTATGCTATTCCACATCTATTGTCTACATCCACTGACCCCACTACATTAAAGCTTTGACTCAAAGAATCTCCGCCGTCGGGTATTTTCCCCTTCTCCATGAAGGATCCCGTTCCTGCAGCGGGGAAGCAGTCTAGACCCGTGCCTGAAGAGAACGCCCCTCGCCCAAATTTACCATTCTGGCTGCAGACTCTTGCAGTATTCATCAACTTTCAAGTTTTGTGTTCTCAATATGGAATATTCGAGCGACGGGGTCGCCGTACCTGAACGTGCCCCGCCCCCATTCTGCACTGTTGCAGGGTATCTCCATTGCCGGGGTGGCTCGTGTTGAGGCAGATGGGGCCCTGACAAATTCCAGACTCGCATGTGAATTTCAATTCTTATGAATGGAGCTGAGGCATAATCACTTCACTTGGAATTCAGTATAAGTTTCTGTAGAACAGGAACAGTGTTATGAAAAATAACATTCGATCCCGATATATCCGTCACCACAAGGAAATCCATCTCTGCAAATGCAGGGCAACCTCCACCCTCAACAAACTCCTAACTCCACGGTAAACATTAAACGCAAACCAGCTATTCATTTTATGTATCTCAGCGACAAAAAAAGCATCTACCACTTATGCATTAGCATTAACCCAAACACACAACCCTCTTAACCCACCACCCCACCCAAACCCATTATCTGTTCCCCCACCCCAAACAACAGCACCGCCCTTAGGAAATCGCAAACTTCGACTTCGCCCTCAACTTGGCCCCATACCAATAAAGCACAAAAATCCCAATCACGCCCAACGTACTCAACCCCCCCAGCAAACTCACCCCCTTCCCGATCCCCAGATTCAGAAACATGGGGCGCGCATACAGGATGGACCCGCACGCCATGGCGGACCGGAAGAAATCGTTGGCCGCGAAGAGACTCGCCGCGTAGGCTGGGTACGACATAGGCACGTAAACGAACACGCACTGCAGCACGATAAACGCCGAGCTGCCGTAGATGGTGATGCCGATCGTGGGCACGATCCAGTGGATGTGGCGGTTGGCCGTCCACCCAAACAGGAACAGCCCGATGGGCGGGCCGAAGCACCCGATCAGCGCGGGGACCAGTCGGCTTTCTTGGGTCTTCGGGACCCCCCGCAGCAGTTGTGGGATGAGGTAGTAGAGGAGGTAGGCGAAGTAGATGGCTACCGCTAGGAGGCAGGCGACGAGGACGCAGAGGAAGACGAGGCCGATTGTGCCGAGGGTGAAGTTGTAGAGGGGCGGGTAGACGAGGGGGAAGACTTCGAAGAACTTTTGAGGAGATACTTAGTATTGGTTGGAGAGTGGAGAGGGGGAAGGGGATGGGGAAGGGTAACATACAGAGTAGTAGATGCCGTAGACGATGGCTGTGTAGACTTGCACGAAGAGGATGGCCGGGTCCTTGATGGTGATTTCGATGGGCTTGATGATGGCGTCAATGATGATGGCCGACGGCTTCAGCTGGGCCTGAACGATTTCTGACTGCGATTTGAGGTGGTTCGACCCGATCAGTTTGCGCAGACGACGTGCTCGTTGATGGAGGAGCGTTGGGGTGGAGGTCTCGGGCAGCAGAAGGAACATGAGGATGAAGACGGGGCCGGCTCCCCACAGGATCTCCCAGAGCGACCATCGCCAGCCCATGGCGGAGACAGCAAAGCCCGAGATCAACGGGCCTAAAGCCGGTCCGCAGTAGGCTGCAGTGACCCAAGCACTGAGTGCGAAGGGTAGGTAGAGCAACGAGTAGATGTCCTGCATCGTCGCACCGCCCGTAGCCAAACAAGGGCTTCCGAAGAAGCCCTGCAAGAAGCGGAGCACCAGCAGTCCTCCGAAGTTGTGGACTAGTGGTAGCGGAATGGAGATAATCACAAACAAGAACATAGTAATGCAGTAGACCGGGGAGCGCCCGATGGAAGGGACTTCCGACAGTGGAGAGAAGAAGAGAGGCCCCACTCCGTACCCTAACACATACAGTGACAGCCCCAGCGCAGACGCCGTGGTGGAAACGCCAAACTCCTCCATGATCCCCTCCTCAGACGAGACATAGATCGCAGACCCCGCATACACAATGAACGTGTAGAGAAATATGATAAACCCCACGAATGCCTTCTTCGTCTGAGTCCAGTTCTGTGGATTTGCTGGATCGTCCGGCCCGTACCAATCCACCATCACGAAATCCGGGGGCAGCGTGTCAGCCTCGCTCTTATCATCTGGAATTGGTTTGTCCAGAAGCTTTTCTGGGTCCTGATCGGCGAGCTGGTTGTGGAAGATGGAGCTGCTCTGTTCGCTTTGTTGCGGTCGGCTCCCTTGTGGGGCTTTAATGCCCGGCACGCCGAGTCGTGCGAGGCCTTGCAAGTATTCGGGAGGGAAAACAAAGTCTGGCTCTTCTTCGGGGTATTTGAAGTACTTCTTCTTGGTCATCCATCGAATCACTTGCCCCAGTGGGGCATCGCGGATCAGACTATTCATGGTGATACCTGTTGAGTGGGGTCGTTGAAGATGGGAGCACTAGATCAAAAGTGCATATTCCTCATGATGAGACCGATTTACATCGACTACACGAAGAAAGCATGCGACCGTATAGAGCATCTTTATAGTACGAGAGCCCCGGACGAGGCTGTTACTCGATGCATCGAATGCTCTCTGGGCGGGCTGGCGGATTGGAAATCCATCTCCGGAGTTAAGCTCTACAGCCGCACCATGCTGGCCACGCTAGAACCTTAATTTGCTGTGATGTGCAGGGGGGGGTCGTCGGTTTAACCCCCGGAGTTACCGATCCATGGAGACGGGTGGTGATGGTCGAGCTGTCAGTCGCTAGCTCGTTGTTTCCTGAGCTTTGGCATAAGGTGGTGATGTCAGTGCCCAACCGCTGGCTGACTGATGGCCATCGTATCCATTCCAGCGGGATCCGATGTTTTGTCATCAACCCTGCAATGAAGGGTTCGCCGAAACCTAGTTTTGGCCGGTGAAAAAGGAAGATGAATCACAAAGGACGGCCAAGTGCAGGTCCATTGGGACACCTGGTGTATACACTGCTGGGTACTTCGTATTCGCTGGTGAAGTGTCTGGGTCAATGCGGCTCGAGGGAAAAGTCCTGAGCGGAAGTGCGGTCAACATAAAATTTTCAAAAATCGAATATGTTTTTCGGGTCAAATCATGGAAGTGAGATGATGGGGGCTCCGGGGTGCTCGGTTGATCTGGCGCCTGAGTTCTCAGATCTCGGCCTCGTGATAGCCGTGTTGAGATGGGTTGCAGATACGGAGAAACCTGCATGGACGCGCCGAACGGGAGACACGTGAAGGAATGAAGCCGTGCTTATGGCAGGGCCTATGCACATACGTCGCAGAAAGCGGTGATCAAACTGCATGTGAAATAGTGAGATGGTTGGTCTCGGAATTAAGGCCAAACCCGATGTACCCGACTTGTTAACAAAGTTTGATGAGGCTGAAGCTGATTATGGAAAGCTCATCGGCCAGCGGCCAGCTGTCATGCAAGTCGCGGGGCCCGAGATCACTTTGGGCAAGAGAGACGGGTTCGATGAACCTCACAACACAAACCAGACGAAACATCATTATCTCTCTTCAGGATGATTAGAGTGGCTGCTTCAGCATAAAGAAACGAAATGTGAGATTCATCAGCTTGCCGGCGACCGCTCAAACAGCAACCTTCCTTCCTTGAACACGTGCCCGAAGCGAGAGCATAGCCAATCAGAATCCACGACTGAATATCAATCTAAAAGTAAGGCCACCCAAGCTACAAAGTTAAAGGCAGCAAAGCCCCCGGAATATGATGACTGAAATCTGGCCGGTTCACTCGAGAAAGCAGCTCTCCTCATCTGCAGCAAGCATCCCCAGATACCAAAGCCCGAGAAGAATCGTCAGTCGTGGGTCAGACACTGTGCCCGAAGCCTCCCAGAAAACCGGTTCTGACAGCTCCAAATTTCCCTTTCCGGGCCCGTCCAGCCGTCGTATTGCCACAAACTCGCGGTCTGTCAGGATGAACCCATAGCGCGTGTGATGCTGCCGCATATACCAATTGACCCGTGACAAAAGCTGTTTGAACTCTCGTCGCTTAGCCGGGTTCGGATGGCTCTGCAGCGCAAACGACCATCTGCTTGATAGCTGGCATACTCCAGGGGCTCGGTTCGATCTTGTCTCACAAGGAAGGCTGTCATCGAAGAAGCCTAGGTCTGGTGCAAAGTGGTCAGGAGTCAAGCCTGCAGTTCCACCATCAAGTATAAGTGCTTTCAGTGCAGATGAGGGGCTATTCGCGTTCAGCGACTTGAATCCGTAGCAAAGGGCGCGTGCAGCTCGGGGCATGATGTGCTGCCATACGCGCCAACAGACGACTTCATTGGTGACGACAGGCGGCGGGGGGGACTGAGGCGAAAAGAAATCATTATATACTGCGATTTTGGTTGATTGAAGCAAGGCACTGTACTGCTCTTTGATCAATAAGATGTTGAATTCGGCCCACTGGTTTGTATAATTGATGTCTTCGGCTTGATAATAAAGGCTTCGTGTGTTGTACGATGTTTCATTAGCGGAGTCTATGCAGGCAGGTGATTCAAACCCACGCTGCAAGAATTCCATTAAAGTCACTTGGAGATCCATTCTCAACATCTGTCGAAACAATAAATTGAAGGCTGTGATTGTTGGTTTTTGATAAGAATTGGTGTCAGACAAAGATGAAAGGCAACGTCTGGACTATAAGAGAGAAGGGTCTCAGTGTATGTGTCATGGTAACGTGGCAGTCATGTGACTGGGTGGAACTGTATGGCACAACATAGGTCTACTTTGTATCTATTTGTAAGTATGTAAACTCTAGTATGTTAATTAGTCTCTAGAAGCATACGTCACTCTCTACAACACGATTAATGGTCTGGTAGATCTAGAAATTGTGCTGTTGTTGCAAAGCACATTGACTGCTGGGCCCTACCAGGGACTGGCCATCGGGGCACAAGGGGTTGGCTGCGTTGATTGGTGGAACTTCACAGGCTTTGAAGTACACTGATTGGAAGTTCAGGTGGCTTGCCGAAGACAGATTATACTTATTATTTATGCTTGCTTTCGCTGTTATGCGCCGCTTTTTTCCTGTGAGGGCTCGCTCGCAGGAATCATCACACAATTCAACACTTATAGGGATGATCTCGCTCGCATGACCGGCCTCGGTGGCAGGAAAGGTTTTTGGTTGCAGAAGCGGCCTCGCTCAGCTCACACAGTCAGTATACTGTAGACCCTTTATCAGACGGTAGATCCCTAGCTCAACAAATATTCACTCTCTTGATATTCACAGGTGACATCGGTGAATTGTAATACAGGGCGAGAGCTGTCTTGAGAAGTAGTGAAATGAAGCTCCAGCCAGAACTATTTCTTTGATCAATAATAACTTTTAACCTATCCCTATGATCTTTCTCTTCTTCCTACAGCTCTTGTTCTACTACAATCTTTGCAAAGACAGAACTGAATACCACTAGATACTGAGAGTTAAGATGGTTTAGTGAGAGTGAGATCTCAGACACTGTCCTGCTTTCAATTCAGTTATAAGACCCTTATCCCACTATTATTGCCGACGCAGTATTCAGTCCTCGTTGCTGTCCTTCCGTTTTGTCCAGGTTGATCTTGTTGACTCCTTGGCGGGAACCCCTTTCATGTCAAGTCGCTGTGTGATTTGACCGAATTACGTCTTTGTCAAATATCTTATCCTAATGGCGGATCCAAACCAGAACCCCAACCTCGTGTCTCCACAAGACTTGCGGCAAAAAGCCCCAAGGACAATCCCCCAGGTCCTGATAACCGACCTTTCTACCCGAAACACCAGGAACACTCAAGGCCTATATTCTTCCTCGAATATCACGGAGGTTACCTATTTCAGCGAGTTCACCTATCAGCGAGTGAGATCACGTTTTGGAACACTTCTTGAAAATACCAGAATTCTAAATGTCTCTTTCACCTCACGGCCCATAGAGGGTGTTACCACAGAAACAACTAATGCCGCTAGGATCACTGAGCACTTCAAGCCCCAGGTGCAATAGGCACTTCTGCATGCATTCAGACACCTAGAACGGTCTAACAAGAAGCCCAAACTTACAGTTGTCCACTACAGCGAAGGCCCGATGGCTGCCATCATCAACAAGTACACGCCAGCCCTTGCCTACTTCTCCCGCAGAGCATCTACGTCGGCGGCCCAACCGGCTTCCCGGCGACGTCAAGCCTTCCTATAAATGGAACTTGAATATGATCGACGATCGTGATGAACATGTCCAGAAGGAGTTCAAGCAAATCTTATCGCAAGTGAACTACTATATGAAGCAGCACCATACCCGTTACGGGTTCGTGATAACTGATCAAGAGCTGGTTGCAATCAAAAGGCTGAACCGCGACGGTGAACTGCAAGTGTCGGACTCAATTCCTTGGACGGACCGCGGAACTCCAGACCAGCCATGCATGACCGTGCTTCTTGCACTTTGGTACTTAGGTATGCTGGCAGCCGACGAACGCGGATGGCGTCTCAACTGAGATCCTCAACAGTTTGTTGTGCTACTCTCCTCAGAATTTACTTATGCTAACCGATAACTAGCAGGTTTGACATCAGCTTAGAGTGGGAAAAGTTGGCAAGGAGGGAAAAGCAAGGCAAGGAGGTAAAAGCAAAGATTGTGCGTCAGGCTGGAGACACTGTTACAGTTCTATGCCAGGGCAAAAACCGAAACTATGCCATATTTACAGCGCTGGACTACAGTCTATGGGTTGACCTGGGAGTTGTTTTTCTTTTTTTCATACAAGAACAATTTCATACAAGATCACTTAAGCTCTACGTTTGATACCAGGAGACGGTGAAGGGAAGCTAGGTTTGGACTTTGGAGGAATGTCACTAGCTAGAATATCAGCTGGTATCACATATTACATGGTGAAGCTTTCAATATAGGACTTCTTAAGCTCTAAGATAAAGTAAGCTTCAAGGGTTTTTGTATTAACCTTATATGAGAAACTGACTACGGACACCTCACAGAATTATAAAGCTACCTGGCTAAGGCTTTAGGTACTTTAATCCACCTTAGCAGCATCATAATCAAACAGTAGTAATAATCCTGCAAATTGTCGCTAATAGGTCCCTAACCATAAAACATACATTAAAAATGACCGGCATGTGAAACAGGAAGGCAGCATGCTGCCTACATAGAGCCCTAGGCATCAGCCGCCTCAGTGAATGGCTACCCGTTCTTCTCTTTTCTCCTCCACTCACTCCCAATCAAGCAGCGAAACTTATCAACAAATCCTCCCTTGCACTTACCTCAACCTCCTCATCTGAAGTTAAGAAGAGAGATGCAACATGGCTTCAGGGCAGCTTGAACTCTCTCCTTCGGAGGTCACCTTCCTAGAAGTCCTCCATGACAGCGAGGAGTCGGTGATCTACAAAGTATCCGTGCATGGAATGGACTGTGTTATGAAAGTAGTGCGTCGCCGGCGACCGGCTCTATTCAACACATCCGTCAAGCTAACATGGCGCAGTTCCACGAGAGACCTAGACAAAAATGGGATCCACCGGAGAACGAAGTCAGCCTGTGCATGCGCGAAGTCGCCGCCTATCAACGCTTAAAAGCCAAGGGCCTCTGCGCGCTAGGCGTTGTCCCCAACTTCTACGGTTTCATGACAGATATCGACGTAACCTACTGGCCTAATCTGTTTCCTTTTAATCGGGATACCCCGCCCGACAGCCTCCTTCCTAAAGCCATACTGATCGAGTACGTCCCGAACATGAAGCAAATCGAACTGACAAACTACATGAAGGAGAGGGCGGAGACATTGCGTAATACCCTGTTCGAGATGAACCAGATAAATATCCTCCATGGCGATATCTATCCGAGAAACATGATGGTCTGCTCGGGAGGGAAAGAACGAGTGCTGTGGATTGATTTCGATGTGTCCCGCACTTTGCCAGAGGACAAGTCCCTCACAGAAGAGCAGCAACGATGGTTCGATCTCGAGGCTCGTTTGATGAACACCTTTGTCAATAATATGGTAAGCACGGAAATATTTTAAACAATATTGGCGCTGATGGCTCTTCAGGCCGCTGATGCCGTGGAGGGGAAGCTCCACAAGGCATGGCCCTGCTACTACGATGCGACATACACGTATTGGAAGCGGGTCAAAATGGGACTGAGCGGCTGGAAAAGATCAAATTGGCCTGGTCCTGGCGTAGCAAATGCAGACAACGAAGACAGCGAAGACGAAGACGTCGGAGCCATCGATGACGACCAAATCCCGAGACCATGGATGGAGTTTTAAGGGACTGGTATGTGGACTCATGCTCAGTGATTTACCAGAGATATCATTTAACTGTGGGCTGGATATGTTGATGACCTATTCTCTCTGACGGTGCAATCATTCAGCGCCGACCGGTTATGACTGCGAAATATTGGGACGGGGCCTTCCTCAGCAGAAATGAGGACTGAAAGATACTTGCTTTGTTTCTCGTGCACCTTTCTTCTTCCCGTCGCCGAATTCTGTTGTTGTGATGTATAGCGGTAATGAACTAGCAAATCAAATCTGGATTACAACCCAGTAACAGATCCCAGTGATCTTCCCCGGCCACCACTCCAGACACTTTCTATCCTCACGAGCGAGCCTTCTTTACTTCTATGATCTTCCCAATTCTGCCCCTGTCATTATTCGACACGGCTACAAAGAGTAGAAGTTACTATGATGGATCCAATGTCTCAAAATCTTCAGAGCAGCATTCTTCTACCCCGATACAGAAAACACTGCCTCTTGAATCGCACTCCTTGATCGGAGCCAACTTAGTCTTGGTTCAAATGGCAGTCGACAGAAAGATGGACTGAATCGTTGTGATGTTACAGAATCGTCGGTAGTCTGACATCCACGATATATTCATTCACTAAACTCTTCTTTCTAGAATGAGAGCGTGGCATCATACAACGTCTTTCAATGATGCATAGCCTGATAATAGATCCATGGATGTCATGTTCCCCGCGTATACACTTCGCCTCAGGTACCGTGGAACTGGATCAGAAGGGTGTGCTGGACCCCCTCTTGGATGACTCCGACTGACGCAAGCCGCTTCCATATATTCCCCACATCGTCCCCTCTGCCAGTACGCCCGCTACAAACTTGTACCTTCTCTTGCACGGACATCGCCACAAGCACATTGGCCGACCAACTCTCTGCTCAGCAGCAAGGTTGACAAGAGTTGAGCATGGATCTCACCCGAATGGCCCAAGTCACTCTCCTTCAAGTCAGGAATAGTTCGGGCATCAATGCAATTTTGATCGCACTGAAGATTATGCGGAACTTTACCAAAGCCAAAGCCCGGTGAGCAAATGAGTCTAAGTTATGACTTTTTGATGTATACTAGGCTGATCCTTGGGTCCAACCACTACTTTTTTTCGTTGAGCTACGAAGCCGCAAGTGATATTTGTGTGGAGACGGCTCGAGATCTGAGAACCCATGCAGAAGGGCTATGTGGATAGCGATGATTTCTGCAGCGTCGAATATACAAATATGCTCAGTGACTTCATAAAATAGAGCAGGGTTTCGGTGTCGTACGTTGAGTCGGGCTTTGTGGTGCCTTCCAAAGGCTTGTACCTGAGGTGCAATGACTTGATCGAACTTATGCAAATGGTGTCACCAGCCGGTTGAAAGAGGTCGGCTCTCAAGGATGAAGGGCAAACATATGCGGAGCTTGAGGACAGTCGAAGTAGACGGCCTAGTGGAACTCAGCTGACGAGGGTAATCCACGCTTGGTTTGTACGAACAATCTTCGGTCATGTGGACTGCTTCTTTGTGAGACTGTGTGTCACACGCCACAAGCAGTTGATAATTGCGGGGCCTAGAACATTCATCTCGCCGCGGGCACGGCACTTAAAGTCTCGGATCCCCTCTCCTCATGATATCATTCTGAACACACACTCAAGGTCTTGGTCACTGCTCAGACATTATAAGAGCTAGCGGCAATCCGTCTCAGATCGAGAAGAAAAACAGGAAGACAACGCACCTAGCAATATCCATTCCACTGTACAAACACCGTTCTTTCAACAGTAACCCGAATCTCGCACTTTCAAATCCAGATCAAAATGCCAAATCCCATGAGCAAGTCCGATAGCTCGCGGATTCAGTCCAGCCAGGTAAAGCTTTCCGGTGAGCCAGACAATCCAGCTTCTCATTGATGAGCAGGCCAAAGGCGGGGGTGACATGAGCTCGGGTGGTTTCGCAGCACGGGCCCAAGCCGCCGGCGACCGACATGCTAGCTCAGCGAGCACCAGCCCCGGCGCAGCATACTCATCTTCTGGTTCATCCCAGCAAGGAACCGCCGGCTCGGGTGGCGGATCTCAGCAGTCGGGTGCTGCAAAGAGATGAAAAGTTGCAGCGAAGAGTGGAGGCGGGGTTCCCAGATTGTAGCACATCGTCATATTTCATGCTGTCGTAATCAGATGCTTAGTGGCTATTTCGACGAAAGTCGAGACCATGTATGAAAATTGATCCCGTTAGCGGCCAGATTGTGCTAGAAGCCCATGCCATTCTCTAGTCATTTTGACCAAAAATGTTGATTTAGCAGTGTAGAAGACCCGAGTTACCAAGTTACCAGAAAACCTTCAAAACACGCGATACACAAACACTGGTTCACGATAGTGATGAAGTAGCTATTTGCTATAGATTCATGTAGGAACGTGCTAAGATCTCGATTCGAGGCATCATCACCCCATTGCTGATCATCCAAGATAAGGATAGATCCGCTTGCTCGAGAAAAGCTCGCATTGCTGCGTTTACCAGGACATATTGAAAGTTATATATGCTTATATTGATTTAACATTAGTTCTCCGGCACGGGAGCCGCCACCTTGACGGAGTGGTTCAATTGGTGCAAAGTGTACTCCGTATATGTCAGGGTTTTATTCATTGCGGAGGATCGCCGGGGCACGGTTGGCACTGCCCCTGCTTGAAAATCGAACGATGCCATTTCATGCCCTGGTAGTATGTACACCGGGTCGATTCTAATCATATGTTGTTGCCTAAGTTACTTCTCAAGTCTTGAGTAAGAACAAATGACAAATGACAAATCCGCAATTTCCCCATTAGTAATGCTTATCGATAGAGGTAGGCACCAGCAACACAAGGCTGACTGACGGGTTGACGAACAAACCAGCAGTAGGTCATGTCAAAAGTACGTCTTGGTGGATATAAGTCTCTAAGAAGTCATGACTCAATTCGAAGCAGATTCAATCAATCTATAAAACTGCATTTCGAAGATGTCGCATAACATTCTAATCACGGGTGCCTCAGGCTACCTCGGCGGGACGATCCTCGCCCGCTGGAACCACGCCAAGCTCCCGCCATACCACACGCTCTACGCCCTTGTCAAAACACCCGAGCAAGGCGAGAAAGTCAAGCAGTACGGGGCCGAACCCTTGATAGCGAACATCAACGACCACGACACCGTCACCCAGCTCATCGTCGACAACGACATCACGATCATCTACTTCCTGATCGATGCCTTCACTGGAAAGCATCAGCCCACCCTGATCAAGGCACTGGGACTGGTCAAGCAGAAGACGAATCTCGACGTACATTTCCTACAGACCACCGGTGCCAAGCTATTCAGCCGCCATGCTGGCATCCCGACCGACCGACCATTATTAGACACCGATCCCGAGCTGTATAGCATCGTCAAACATGCGACGCCGCCGCATGAGTTCGTCATTGAGGTGTGTACCCTCTGATTTGAGCATATGACGTGAGAGTACTAAGTATCTTAAAGCCAGCGAATGCCAATCTCAACGTGATCGACATGTCAGAAGCCCATGGAGTGCGAAGCTACATCTTCGCGCCCTGTCTGGTGTATGGACGAGGAGAAGGGTTCGGTAATCAGATTTCGATCCAGGATGTGGACATTGTGCGGGCTGCGAAGAAGTTGCGTCGCGTGTACCGAGTGGATACCGATAATCCGGTGCGCAAAACCATTCTTCTCCGAGTACGACTGAAGGGAAATGCTCACTAACGCATCTTCAGAGCTGGCCAGTAAGCCACGTCGCTGATACCGCGGACCTGTATCTCCAAATCCTGCGCAAGATTCTTTCGGGTGATGAGATCGGATATGGCAAGAACGGGTTCTTTCTTGCTGCCTCGGGCAATCTGCCGTGGAATGACATCTACGCTGCCATGGCTAAGGGACTGGCTAAACACAATGTAGTCGACGATGAGGTCGTCATGGATGCAGATGAGTCGGCCTTGGCTCGAATGGGTGAGGCGCTTGGCGTGCCACCGTCGGCTGTTGCGGTGGTCCTGGGTGGGAAGTATGTAGATCCACATTGCCCTGGTTTTGATGGTGGAAAATACTAACGACTTCATACTAGATGCTCGTTCACCGCTGTACACGGTAAGCAGATCGGCTGGACTTCTAAGTACCCGCCGGAGCATTTCTTCGAGGTGGTGGATGAGGAAGTCGATCTTATTGTGCAGCATCTGGTTAATTAGGCTTAAGATGGATGAGGGAATTTGGGTGTCGAGGCGGGCTTCTACAATGCACTGCCAAAGTAGCAGCATCGAAAATTACAGACCATTTTGTTTTTCAGCCATGCTTATTGCGTCCAACTCGTTGCAGTGGAAATATGTCTTCGGGGGACAAAAACAGTCCCGAGGCGCTCCTTCTCTACTCGCAATGAAAGTGGCGGGAGACGCTATCTCGAGACTTATTCAAGACACCACTCCCGCAGGATACCCAAACGATGTACCTTTAGTGAACCTTCCTGGCCCTGCACAAGCACTAGAACGAAGTTCAACATACTCGGAGGTTGGGGATCTTCGAAAAGTGGGTCCAAAACCTCGGCAAGAATCAGATAAGGGTTAGTCATCCCCACAATCCTGCGCCCAGCATCGACTCCATCCCCAGATTGAGAACCTGTCAACCATTTCCCCCTCTCCAGCACAATCACATCACCATGGCCAAGTCCAAATCTGCCAAGCGAAAGCGCAACAATCAGGTCGATCTGCCGCAAAAGGCTTCCAAGACCACATCGATTCTAACGCCCCCGCCAGATGGAGGCTCCCTGGAGCCGAAAAATCTTCAGACGGTCGTCTCGGACGAGGAGCTCGATATCACGGTTGAGACGCTCACCACTCTCACACAATACCCCGGCTTGACCAAGTCGAAAGCATGCAAGGACCTCCGGGCCGCGGTCTATGACTTTCGCCAGGCATGTACGACAGGCGTGAACAGCGCTGGTCCGTTACTTCTCGTCTCCTCTTGAGATTCGCCACTGACTCGGATTTCCACAGAGGGCGCTAATTTGACGGCACGCATCACCGGCGCTATGGCCGACGGGAAATACACTGACGCCAGGGTCCTACTCGCAGAGATGAGAATCAGGGGGGAACAACCGAAGATTGGGGCTTTGTGTCGTTGGGTGAGGGATTTGGACGTCGTTAGCGGCCTCTCCACGCAGCCCGGGATGCAGGGCAAGGCCACCATCGAGCGCACCGCCAGGGACTTGGACCTTCTCAGCGTCCTCGACGCCGTTCTACGTGTCAGCACTCCCATCGATCTGAGCCCGGAAGCGGTCCCCTCCACATCTCCCATTGCCTTTCAATCCATTTGGGACCTCCGACCATCGAGCCCACCACTTGAGGTCTATGCCTCCGTCCTCGACAAATCCATCCTCGAGTCGGCCCCAACCTCCCCCTCCGCCCTCCGCATCATCGAAACAACGCCCGGCCCCCAGCGCAAGCCCCCCAACCACCACCCCGCCATCCTCTATACGACCAGCCCCAACGCGGTCGCACTCTCGTCCACACCACCACCCACGAAATACCACCCTCACCCCTATGTCCCGGGCCTCGGCCTCGCCCTCGACATCCTCTCCCCCGCCGAATGCAAATCCATCATCGCCGCCGGCGAATCTGTCGGCTTCCTCCCTGACGCGCCCCTCCGCGAAGACGGCGACATCAGCATCCTGGCCCACAACTTCTACTGGGTCGTCGATACCGCCTTCCACGACCTGCTCTGGGCGCGCATCGCGCCCTACGTCCCCCAGACCATCAACGGCTGTCAAGCGCGCGGCCTCAACCGCCGCTTCCGCGTGTACCGCTACGTCCCGGGGGCCGAATACCGATGCCACATCGACGGCGCCTGGCCGCCGTCGGGCATCACCCCGGAGGACAAATACGTCTACGACGCCTCGCCGGAGGACAACCGGCAGAGCTCCATGTACACCTTTCTTCTGTACCTGAACGACGAGTTCGAGGGCGGGGAGACGACTTTCTTCCTGCCTGCGGCCAGGGAAGGCACGCTGAACGCCTATCCTGTGCGGCCCGTGATGGGGGCGGTCGCATTGTTTCCGCACGGGGAGTCGAACGGCGCGCTGTTGCATGAGGGGACTGGGGTGAGGAAGGGGGCTAAGTATATTATTAGAAGCGATGTAGAATATGATGTCAAGCCGGGACAGGGATGAGAGGGTGCGCACTTGGTGCACCCCCCTTGCCCGCTTTGCTTCCATTCTTCGGCCCTTGAGGCCGAAGACCCGGTCGGGACCCCGATGGTGGGTCCGACCGAAGACTATATGTTGTATAGCAGTAGAGGACAACACTAGACTTTAGACTCGATCAATAGAGTCACTGTTCCTGTCTCTGTCATCGTCCACCGCGCTACTCCTCCCGAGGAGCCTTGCCTCCGCAACTTGTGTGGTGGTTATACGGGGTTGTTTCACATTCCCATCTCCAAGTTTGCGACTTCAAGTGCCCTCAACCACTCGCATCGGAGGTTTCGGATCATCATATCCAGTCATCGCCATGTCTCTGCCCCTCTTTGTGTTCTTGAAGTCACAAACAAAGGAACCAAAGCTCTCCCTCAGAAACATGACCTCAGGGACTGCCCACCCATTTGACCATCAAGCCTGTACCTTCTTAAAACACGGTCCGCATCTTTCTCGAAACACGCTTCAGTTTAAATTGAGGGCATGCTGAATTATTTGTCCGCTTACCAATTCCCTCCGGCATGATCAGACAGGGATTTGCAAGCCACCACGATTTCTCTATAGTGCAAGAGACATGCCTGCAGGGCAGATCGGTAACGGCATCATGAATTCCTTCATTTCCAGAACCCCCGGCCTGTGGCAAATAGATGTATAAACCACCCTCCTTATCTCAAAAAAATCCCCTTCTTACTCCCCCCCAACCTCGCGACTATGTACAGAACATCCCCTTCCCTTACATCTGAAGGTCTTCACCCTCACAAAACAGTACTCAAATCCACCAAACTGGCCGTAACCTGATTGTCCGCGCCATTGAGCACCCCGCCACCGGCGATCAACAGATACCGGCCATTCTCCTCGCTGAGCACGCGCAGATCCCGGGTGTAGCTCGTGCTCTCCGGGGTGGCGATCTCGGTCCACTCGCCCTGCCCCAGATTCTGGTTGACGAAGACGGAGCTCTGGGTGCCGCTGCTGGCGATGATGGTGCCGTGCGTGCCGCCGTAGGGGCTCCAGACCACGTACGGCGAGGAGGTGGGCTGCGTGCCGTCCGAGACGACCAGGCGCTGGCCCTCGGCGGCGGCGATCTGCTCCGGGTCGCTGGCGATGCGGAAGTACAGCGGGAAGCTGTAGGTGGAGGTGTTGAAGTAGGAGCCGTATTCGTAGATGTAGATGTAGGCTTTGTTGGGGAGCTGGATTTGCAGGGTTGGGTTAGTGGGGGGTGGTAATAAGGTTGGGGATGCGGAGGCGGATGCAGGCTGTGTGGAGTTGTTTGTGGGACCAGAGGACAGTCTTGTCTTACCTGGGCGAGGATGGGCATGCCGGGTCGGTCGGTGTAGGTTGGGTAGGCGCTGTTGTTGCTTGTTAGCCTTTTGTTTCGGAAGTGGAAGGGGAGGTAAGGGGGGGGGGGGGGGGCACGTACACGTCATCAACGACGGGGCCCCAGTTCTTCAGGTCGGTCGTGGTCTGGTGGACGAGCTTCTGGCCGTAGGTCGCGTTGTCCCGTTGGTCGGAGTAGTAGCAGATGAGCTTGCCCTTGCTGATGTTCGGTTAGCAACTGTGAGAGTCCGGGTATGGGCCGCGGATAACGCCAGCAATTGACGGGTGAGACGTACTGCACCAGCAAGAACGGCTCCCACACCGGGGTCAACCCGTTGTTCGGCAACGCCTCGCCTCCCTTGGCGATCTCGGAGACGAACTCCCAGGTCACACCGTTGTCGCGCGAGGCGTACAGGTCGAGCTCCGTGGTGGACAGATCTTCGGGGATGCTGTTGCCTGCGAGCAGGATGGTACCTGCCGGGTAGCCGCCCAGCTTCTGGTCCAGGTAGTAGAGGAAAGGCTGGCAGCGCAGCCCAATCTTGTTGTGCGTATCCTCGACCCGCGAGATCTCCTTCCAGGTGGCGCCATGGTCGGTGCTGCGGTAGATGGGGAAGTAGACGAGGCCGTCAGTGTCGCCCGAATAGTTCTCCCATGTCGAGAGCAGAACTCCAGAGGGTAGCTCGAGGGTGCGGGCGTAAAGCGTGCGGGGGATGGTGTAGTTGGAAGGCGGGTCGAAGATGACCGTCTCGCTGTAGGTGGTGATGGTGCTCGGCTTGGACTTGGGCAATGGGTTCGCCGTCGTCAAGGGTGAAAGGAGCAGGGGCAGTACCAACGAGGCGAGGCCGGTGAGCTTCATGTTGCTTGAGTTTGGTTTTCCAATGGACTCTCGCACTTGATGGATACGCACTCCGCAAATTTTTGCGGGGGAATTTATAGTCCTCCGAGTCGAGGAAGTTGCGGGGTGCATATCCCGCCGGAGTTGTTCTTCTAGGGCTAATCTCCTCCCTGGTCATCCCATTCGGGAGATTTTCCGTCAATCGGGAGGGGGAGACCGCCGCATGGGTTCTTCACCCCATTCTCCTGCTACCTGGGGATTCTTCGCTTTACGTCATGGCGTCTTTAGTACCTGCAGGTAGCCCTCGCCGAGATGAGGCAATAAGGAATGGTTTTGCAGTCATTCAACTGTCAAGAGCGATGGCGCCATGTACTGAGTGAGCTTTTGGCAACATACCACAAACCCCGCAACTGCTTGGGTCTTGGCATTTTCTCAGTGTTTCTAGGCGTCTTATTGACCTCGGCATATTGCAAAGCCGGTGGACTAAGTGCGCCAGCCATCCAGGTACTGATGTTCGGAGTAGCGGTCTGAGTGTACATGGGAAGCAAGAATGCCTGTGTGCAGGGGTTCGAGATGTTCAGCTCATTGTTCCTGACGATCACTAGCAGTGGGTGACTGCTACCGCTGGTATGTCAGCACATGCCAGGTCGAGTTAGCGCCATGGACCAAACGCTGGAAACTGACTATCAGTCTATAAATCCGCTCGTTGTCAGCTTCTTCCGCACTCCCCTACAGCTGGGCTAGTCTTCCGAGGGGAATAAGAGACTACGGAACTTAGCTGCCTAAGCGATCTAAACAAGCAGAGGTAGATCTTGGCCTCAAGATTCATCATTTCCAACCGACTGTAGCGACCGGTTCTGACCATTTCTGTCTGCCGAGTTATAGAAGACGGCAACACCCACCTGAATTGCAGACAGATGCACATGTTTTAAGAGATATCATTGCTGACGCAGGTTTCAGGTTCAAGACAAATTGAGGCTCACCAGCGCGATGGATTGCGCACGTATATCATGGAAATAGACATGGCTACCGAAATTTCCGCCATGAATTACCTTGGCGAAGAAATGGTCAAGATTCCAAGCTACAGTTCTCATCCCACTGCCTCTGGCTGAAGTTAGTGTCAAGGTGTTTCTCTCGACGTCTGCATCACCTGTCTTCCAACACATTTGACTGATCGCAGAGAGGGCCGTTGATGCGACGAAGCTCCATCGGCTGTGAATTTGTTGACTGTGATGTGCCCACGTGTTGAACTCTCTTCGACAGGACCGTGATGCAAGGTCAACTTTTCCACTTCCACTTTCTCAGGATTAGCATAGACACTGCATACGGCCCGAAGACATGGATTTGGCGAGCTCGAAATGATTTGCTGCGTCTCTCAATCAAAGGCATTCTTTTTCTGATCAACCTATAGACGACCGTGCGGATGCCTGGAACTCAAACACAGCCGTATTGTGGTCGATCATCAGTCAAGCATGCAAGGTGTGGCTGTTGTCAGCCAGAAGGGTGGCTAACGTCAGCCACATGCGTTGTGGAATCCTATTGGCTGGAGTTTAGGAGATTAGGTGAATATCAGCGTTTGGCTTATGCCTTCCCCACTGATCTCAAGAGTGTTCTTTATCTCCGTTTGAACCCCGATTGTTATACGGTTCTCGCACTCATTTAAATACCAGACGCACCGCTGAATCATTATTCTCTGCGTCTACCATAGGATCAAACTTACATCCCTACCAACCCTCTCAGCGACCCCTTTCAGCAACCCAACACCCAGCTCTAGCCACTCAACACCAAAGCCTATCGCCGTTAGCCTGATACCCGACCCACGAACTGCTGGCGCACTGAGACAGCCTCCAATTCAATCACCCATCCATTTACATTCCACAAGACACATTGGCACTCAAGCAGCGATGGTGACCCTCCAAGCCATCCAAGCGCACAATGCGACCCTCAAATCCGGGATCCCCAATCTCGTCGCAGTATTCGGTACGCCGTACCACTTCCCCTCCTATACAGCACAGCAACCCCAACAACCCACTACCTACCAAAACTACCCATTCCCCCACCGATCCTCCACCCCACCATACATCAATACTAACACCCCAAAAGTAGGCGGCACATCCGGCATCTCCCTCTCGACCGCGCTCAACCTGGCGCGACACACGCCCTCCCCGAAGATCTACCTGATCGGCCGCAGCCAACCGGCCGCCGACCGCGCCATCGCCGACCTGAAAGCCACCAACCCCGCCGCGCAGCCCACCTTCCTCCAAGCCGACATCTCCCTGTTAACAAATGTCGACCGCGTCTGCGCCGAGATCGGCGCCCGCGAATCCCACCTCAACCTCCTCTTCATGACCGCGGGGTACCTGACCCTCAAGGGCCGGGACGAGACCGCCGAGGGGCTCGACCGGAAATTCGTGCTGCATTACTACGCGCGCATGCGCTTTGTGACCAAGCTCATGCCGTTGCTGACGGCTGCCGCGGAGCAGAAACCTTCGGGGGGGCTCTCGCGGGTGGTCTCGGTGCTGGATCCGCAGGTGGCGGTCCGGGCGGGCGGGGCCGGGGTGCTCGACTTTCAGGATTTGAGTCTCAAGCAGACGTTTAGCCTGAAGAAGTGCGGGCATCATGCGGGACTCATGGGGAATTTCTTCCTCGAGGAGCTGTCGCGCAGGTGCCCCGCTACCTCGTTTGTGCATGCGTATCCGTCTGGAGTCGCGACGGGGGCGATGCGGGAGCTGCCCGCGGGGAAGATCTTGACCACAGTGCTCGCGAAGGTGTTGTCGCCTTTCTTGGTGCCGATTGGGGAGAGTGGGGAGCGGCACTTGTTTGCGGCGACGAGTCCGAGGTATCCTTCCCGGCGTGTGGGGGAGGCTGAGGGAGCGGTGGATGGAGATGTTGCTGTTGGCAGTGATGGGGTCAAGGGGGGTGGGTCTTACTGGCTGAATTGGGATGGGGAGGCGTATCCTAAGAATAATAAGATCGAGAGGACGAGAGGCGAGGGCGCTGTGGAAAAGGTGTGGGAGCATACTGAGGAGGTGTTCAAGAGGGTGTGCGAGGAAGGAAAAACATATCCGTGATCGTTGATATTCGTTTGTTTATCTTTACAGCTAGGACCGCAATAATTCTTAATCTCTCCTCCAAACAAAAAGAGTCAATATCGCAAGAATTGAAGGCAGCGTGGTGTGTGTGTGTGTGTATAGTGCCTCTACGACAATCAAGCCCCCTTTCGCCGGCCCCGTTCGATTCCCTGCTGTCTAAAGACCAGCCTCTTGGGATATCCCGGATCGGCGCTCTTCCAGGATTCCAAGCGTCTGCGCGAAAACCTTCCTTTGTACTCTTCGACCAGCTTCCGTATAGATCCAATCTTCTACACTCTGATTTCTCCCGTCACTTTGATACTCGCCATGGGAGCTCTTCGGGGCCGAGGCAGCGATCACCAAGGTCCTCCCTCCCACTTCGGTGGTTCGCTCAAAGATCCAACGCGCTATTCGTGCAAGTATCGAGGGTGGCTCGCCTCGAGCGAGGTCTGAGGCGCAAAGACCCGGATTGACTAGGTTGATGATCACCGGTGGAGTATCCCCGACAATAGTGTCTTGCTTATCGCCCAGCCTCGCCACCAGCCCCCGCGTGAAGAGTACTTCGATCAATTTCGTGGCTTGGTATCTTTGGGTCATCATGAGTAGCCATTCAAATCTTCGCATTTAACCAAAGAAGCGCCAGCGTATCGACGGGATAGTAACATACCTAGCCTGCTGACTGAACCGCTCCCTCACCTTAAGCTCGTCATAAAGAATCGGAGCATTGATCTCCGGAAACGACGTCAACCGATGCGCTTCCGAGCTCACAATCACCACATGCGGGTGGACAGCATCCGCGGCGGTGAGACGTCTTGTGGCCCGGAGCTTTGGGAGGAGCATCAGCGCCAAAAGAAATGTGCTCAGCACATTGACCTGGACCGCCTGCTCATGGCCCTCGCACAGCGTCCACTGCCCCGAGTTGATCCCTGCATTTTCGATCAACACGTCGACCCGATCGAGCTCCTTCACCCTCTCCGCGAATGCGATTGTGGATGCGGTGCTCGACAGATCCAGCGGCCAGACTTCGATCGCACCCGCGTCCGACCGGTGCGTGACGTTGCTGCGGAGGATATCCTCCTTGGCGGCTTCGCCTTTGGCCGTGTTGCGGACCGCGAGGATCAGCCGCGCGCAGTCCAGACGGTAGAAGTGGCGTGCGGCTTCGAGTCCCAGCCCTGTGTTGGAGCCGGTGACGATGATGGTTTGTTCGGCGAAGGAGTCGCGGGGATATGGCGGGGTGACGAACAGCTGCGAATACACGAAGGTGCGGAGACCGGCGCCAATGTTTGGGGAGATCACGAACTCCGGATTCCTTGATGCCATGATAGATAGAAGTAACGAATTTACGTCTGATAGCCCCGAGTAACTGCGAGCATTAGCATGCTAATTATGGAATATTGATGGATATGCAAGAACTAGGGCACGGTCTAGATGCAGGAGGACCGGCATGGCGGGTACAACGGGATCCGATGGATTCGGTCTACGGCCACCGGGTTCAGGACTACCCGGGGATGATTACGCATGCTTACGCATCAGTGCTGCTGTCCGTATGCTCTGGAGCCTAGTCATCCGGTGCGAAGCTTGTAGCTATACGCACTTGCATTAGTGTTTCTGCCCTTGCTGTAGGTGCAGACGAGGAGCTATGACGCGATCTTCCGCAGTAATGGTAAAATTCAGGGTACGGTGCATAGCAGCCGTCCCCGTTAATGTGTTTTGAACCTTTTACTCTATTTTGTTCTGTATTTTTCCATCTGCCAGTAAAATAAGTTCATGTCCTACTTCTAAGCACCTTCATAAATACACTATATGGGAGTGAAACAGTAAAGTTATATCACTTTTAAGAAAGTAAATGAACTTGACTAGAACAGTCTGTCTTTCAAAGTAGGCTTTCTACTATGTATGATACAATTGGTGGAAGCGATGTCCAAATTATGTTACACCCAATTATTCTTCCTAGAATGACAATGCAGATACCTGATTGCTTTAGTTACTTAAGAAAGCTATACTACTGCACTTGCTTACAAAGGCGCTTACAAATGTGCTTACAAAGGTAGTTATCTTCCTAATCAGGAATTACTCAGTTGTGTGGTGAAGACCGTAAAGAAAAATGTATTCGCAGGATGGCAGCTGTTATCCACTACTGAAGACAAGTTGTCAACAAAACCAACCGCACGCTTTGCACAGCAAGACACCCAAAAAGAACTCCAATCTCTAAACTCTCCCCCCGCTGGCGACGCTCAAGAGATTCCGCCACTCCAGTTCATCCGGGGTATCCGCGTGGATGGCAAGTTTAATATCGAGCGCGTTCCTCAGCTGCTCTTTTGTAGTCGCGTACAACATACACAGCTTTGCAGAAGTGTCAACTTTGATTCTAGGTTGTCGAAGATAATGTGGTGGAGCTCACCTTCAATGGTGTTTCCTGAGGGACCCAGCTGATGAACACCAGGCGAGAGCGCTTTCCGTCTTCCCCGAGGTCATATTCCACGTCGTACGCGGCGTATCGTGGCATTGGCTTCCCCGTGCTGTCTGCTGCCGCGCAGAGAGACTGAAGAAAGACCTCGTAGTCTGGTTCGCCTGACGATTCGCATAGTTCGACGGTAGTTTCGTCGTCGGAGATTTTGTAGATCACAAACCGGGGCTTCTGGGGGCCCCTGCCAAAGCGGAGTGATCTGGACGCGGTGATGCACTCATTCGAAATTACGACTCTGGTGATGGTCAGATAGAAAGATTGAGAGGAATGTTTTTAGGTGCCGTGAAGATACGGGACGTACCCTGAAGACATCTGAGATTAGACGATTGTCAGTGCTGAGTCGGACAATTCATGGTAAGAGTATCACTCACCGACATCTTGAAGCAGTCCTGATAATCCGGAAAAGAGACTTATTGTTGAAATACGAAATCACCATCTGGGTTATCTTAGAAAAGGTGGAAGCGAATACTTGCTATATATGTTCCTTGTGCTAGGCAGCATTGAATCCATACAGCGCCAACGGCTTCCCGCTCATCGACAGGCAACAGCAGTTGTGAAGCTCAGCATTGCAGGAGAACTCAGCATCATTGTCACTGAGAATTATAGTTGCCTGGAAATGATTAAACATTCTCTGATTATATTTACATGGAGACAAGAGTTATAACGTAGTAAGACTGACGACGAAAGCATCTACTACGACGTGGAATCAGGCAGCAACTAAGGAGTTGTGGTTGTGAATTGAATGCTTGTACTGCGGCCACACAAAGGTATGTGTATTGCATTGTGCCTCTACACACTGGTAGACTCGTGGTCTTCGGCAAATGCTATTTATTCTTCGTGTTTCCATCCCAGTTCCATCAAGCAACGAACAGCATGACGCTAACAGCACCGAGTGTAATAACCAAGGCTCACTTTCCAGGCGAGCCGTAGCTCTATGAATACTGCAACACCAGTAAGCAATCACTCTTTCCGCCATAGCAATTCTAATTCTAAATATTCACATGACGCATATATGCAGTAGTCTATCAACACCGGACCTCTTCAATTCTTCAATTCCTCCCCCTCCCCCTCCCCTAACCCAAACATAGCAACACTATTCCTCCACACAGCCTCAGCAACAACCTCCACCTGCAACCCCTTCAACCCAGCCACGACCCTCGCCACGCGCTCCATCGTACAACTCTCATTCCGCCCCTTGACCATCAACCCCTCCACAAACCTATTACTCTTCCTCGCAGCGGGGAGGGGCCTCGCCCCCTCCAAAAATTGGCGTATGGCATCATCCTCGACAATCTCGCACCACGGCGCATCCGTCTCCAACTGCAACACCTCCAACGGCACCTGGCGCACCATCTCGCGGCCCTCCGCCGTCCGAAAACTCACCCCGTTCACACTGATCCCGAACCCCAGCCCCACCAGCACGCGCATCTCCTCCGCCGACCCGGCAAACGAATGCACCAGCCCCCGATTCCCCGCCGGCAGACGCTCCAAATACGGCCGCAGAATCGCGACGACATCCGCGCACGCCCCCTCGCCCCGCACATGCAGGAAGAGCGGGAGGTGCAGCTCCACCGCGACGTCGAGCTGGTCGCGGAACGCGCGCTGCTGGGTGGCCTTGTCGGCGCGGTCGAGATACACGTAGTCGAGGCCGATCTCGCCGAAGGCGACGAGCGGGGAGGGGTGCGACGCAAGGAGGGTGTGGCCGAGTTCGCGGAGGCGGGCGAGGTAGGAGTCAGTTGGGTTTGGGGTGGCTTCGTCGGCGTAGATCTCGCTGGCGTGGTAGGGGTGCACGCCGAGCGTCATGGTGCACATCGACGGGTACTCGCGTGCGATGGCCAGGTTTTGGGATGCGCCGGCTAGGGTCATCGTTGTCAGGAGCATCTTCTCGCAGCCGTGGGCGCGGGCGCGCTCGACGACGTGCGCCCAGTCTGGGGCGTGGTGCGGTTTGCCGCCGCGGTAGAGGCCGTGGAATTGGTCGGCGGTGTAGGTTACTGCTACCTGTTGTTTTGTTAGTTCCTTGGGTTGAATGGGGGTGGGTTATGAGGTTGGAGGGTTTGGGGTGTGGGGAAGGGGACTTGCATCTGCGAACCGCATTTTGCGTTGTGAGTGTAGTTGTTGTCGTGCAGGTAAGGAGATGATTTTCGAGATAGCGTGTCTGGAGATTATGTTAAGGGCTGTATGGGTTGCACTTGGGTTATGATACTCACCGTACAGTAGTGCTGGGGCGCATGTAGTGTTGTGTAAAAGCTTCAGACTCGAAGAAGATGGACATTTGCTCGGAGATTATTTTAGCTTGTGTCCCTCAATCCCAGGTTTCTTTAAAGCCCTTTTAGTATTCGTCCATCTCTTGCATCTACTCCACTCGGCTATGCTGTTTTCTGCTCCGTGCCCACTTTTCTGCTCCCCTTCCGTCCCCACTCGGGTACTTGTACCCGGATTGCGGTATGCGATCGTGCATACCTAGTACTCAAAGTTGAACCCGAGGAAGGGACAAGATGAGAAAACGAGAAATAGGGAACTTCATCTATTGGGTCTATCGTGGCTTCATCTCCCCCCACCAAGCGTAGAATCTCATCGTCCACCGTCTACCGCATCCGCCATCTCGCCCAGAGTATCGAACTTCCAATCATAGACCGTCTCCTCCAGGTTCCCCATCGTAGCCCCAGGCCTCTCAATCCAGACCGACTTGATCCCCGCCTTGCGTGCGGGATGATGATCATGGAACTGACTCTGCGCCGTCTGCAGCACTTGACTCCTCTCGACTCCGAATTTCTCTTTGACCGCGTGCAACATGTGCTCGAAATTCTTCAGGTCGGGCTTGTAGCTTCCCACGTCCTGCGCGGTGATGATCAGGTCAAACTGGATTCCCTGGAGACTCCCAGCATTCGTCTTGGCAAATGATTCGCGGTCGACGTTGGAAAGAACCACGAGTTTGTAATGCTTTGAGAGACGTTTGAGCGCGTCGACGGTATCCGAGAAGGCGGGCCAGTTGCCGACCGATTCGCCGAAGCGGATGCTCTCGTCGCGGGAGGGGGCGGGGAGGTTCAGACGCGTTGTCCAAGTGGGGTGGATGGTGGTCAAAAGTTCGGAGTATGGCATATCTGGGGTCTGTTCCTGTTGCGCATGTTCCAGCTCGTGGTAGAGGGTCAGGAGATGTTGGCGCGAGAATTGCGCGTTGGTCTTGTCCAGTGTGGCCTGGAAGGCGGTCAGGATGCCGGTTTCCCAGTCGACTAGCGTGCCGTAGACGTCGAATGTGAGGAGACGGTAGTCAGATAATTGAGCCATGGTTGTTAGTGGAGATTGTGTTCTGATTGTGCTGATGTATGTGCAAAGTAGACAGGAACATGAGGATAGATATACATCATGGCCGGTCGGTGCGGGGAGCAGAAGCAGTTAGCCTGGACAGTAAACCGTTTCCCCTCAATATCCCCCACTCGGGTACGCTTACCCGATCAAGTGCCCGCCTGTCACTCCGATGCCGGACCTGCTTCTCTCGGCCCGGGTCCTGCTCGGCCATTGCTTACTTCTCTGACGTTCAAAGAAGGGGATCTTGCTTCCGAGCTGAGCTTGAATATTATGAACAGTACAGCTGTGTCACAAGCGTCGCCTAGTGCAAGATCATCGCGACAGTCTACAGAAAGAACGTCATCATGACAGGCATCATTCATACAATGCACATTCGATCAAACTCCCACTCAAATTTCACAGCCCTTGACCGAGAGGAATATTGCCTTCCTCAGGCAAGATAGAACTGCCTATCTCTCCAAGCCAACTATCATCCAAGAACAGCTGATCTGAGCCCGTGATGGTCGCAAAAGAGTCCAGCTCTTGCGGCAAGGAGGCAAAGAACCCATCGAAGGAGGGCGGTGTTAAATTCTCGGGGAGATCGGCCAAAGAGCCAGGCCCTGGAGTCGGCATTGAGTGCGAGGTGAGACTATCAGGCTGCCAAAGCTGTGCCCATCGCTGGAACTGACTATATCCTGAGTGTGCATCGTGCCTCCATTGTTCCTTGCGATCCCCCTGCCGCTGCAGCCGCTGACGAGCCAGTTCTAATGCTTCGATAGCGGCCACATCCGATCGGGCGGATTCAACACCCACGCACATTTGTCGAATAAGGATCATACCTTGAGACAGGCTGTTCAGGACTCGGTCTGTCTGTTGGTTTAGGCTATGCGCTATCAATGCAAGGAGTGCCGCGCGGCAGGAGCTGAATTCTGTATATGAGACGCGGGCAATCCCGACCGAGTCATGCAGAAGCTGGCAGAGATCGATGATTCGGATCGCAGCGTCGAGGCAGTCGCCAGAAAGCGTGTTAATGGGACTCTCACTGCTAGAACCTGATGGCAACGGGTGACTTGGCTTTGGTGCGAAGATGAATGGACGGCCCATGTATATTATCACGGTATCATAGCTCAGCTCCAGGTGAACATTGCAGCGGAACAGAGGTCCAGTTGGGGTCAGATCTCGGCAGTGGACTTCGGCCGGAAGGGTTGACCACCACTTGCTGAGATTAGACCGGATCACCATCAGCTCTTGAAGGTGGCCCTTTTGCTGAAAGCGTGGACAGCCCCGTAGGCGCATAATGGTTTGGGATACCTTGCTCAACTGGCCCGTTAAGAAAATGTTTGCGTTCACGTTCTCTAGGTTTGAAGCTCTTCCGGTCGGGAGGGGTAAGGCTTGGTCGGTCGGAAACTGCGCATCGACTTCGAGACGAGAGACAGATACTGGTCGTCCATGTAGGATGCTGATGCGACTGCGGTCAAGTCAGTTAGAGACCATGAGCCTTTTTAGTGGCAGGGAGCACCTTTCGAGTGAGTAGGCGGACCACCACAGACGATTCCGCCACTCGAGAGTATCAGGGTCAAGCGAGAGATGGGAGCTATCCCTATGCATGCCATTCTGAATCGCCATCTTAGTAGCAAGTCCATAATACGTGTAAGCCAGGCCAGATGTGTCGATCGGCACCGTGTAGCTACCCAGTAGCAAGAAGGCCTGCACCGTCTCAACCGATGCCACGGTGATCAGGTCAGGAATCAGTCGACAAGAGAATCGATATAGCTCTAACCCAGCACGATCGTCTGGAATCTTCTGGGAAAGGTGAGGGCTCATCGGTGTCGGCTTTGTCTGCATGTAGGCAAATTGGGTTCCTATGGCAAATGTCATGAGAAGGGTACATATCCATCCGGCGTCGTGTATAGTTGGCGCATGCTCGTGGGAATAGTAATAGTCCATCTTCTGTCTCAGCGTTCTCTCGTCGAAGTAGAAGTAATTGGTTTGGGCAAATTGAAGGAATGTCTCGATGAGGAACTCTCCGATATCCCTTGGTGGGAAGTAAACCATAGCAGAAGAGACCACTGATGTAGGTGATTGTAGCTCAGTCGCACGATGTACTCCGCGCACTTGATCTATTCCCTGAATAATAGTCAGCCCAACCTCCAGAACGCTGGTCAGATCAGATTACATGGGTTTGTTCCGTCCCGCTGCCCAAACTTCGCAACCTACGTAGAAGCGTTTGCGAAAAGTTCCAATGAGATAGCTCCCCATAATAGTCTGCAAGTTGTCAGTATTGTTCAAAACGTTAGTGTATTGAAGCTTACGCATGGCGCTGCTCGATAGCGGCTCAAGAGAATAAATCTCTGGCTCTGGTTCTGTCGTCCCAGAAATTATCTGAATGTTGTGGTCCGGACTTCGCTTTTCAAGCCCATCGGCAATACCTCGCAAACTCGCCGTGTCAGTCGCCACATCGCCGATGAAATGTTTGATTATCTTGATCATAACAGCTTCCCTGTCTTGTGTCGTAGAAGATGCAGACCTAGTACATATTAGTCCCATAGAGTATGAATCTTAAATCAAGTCCAACCTGGTAACATTGTCGTTGGTGTCTCTGCCCAGCCGCTGCGTTGCGGCCGTTTCAAATCGACATGAGCGATTGTACTGACGGCAGCGCGCGCACGGCACGCCTCCCCCGCCTAGAAATGAATCAGTAGCTGCAAGCGAGGCTGGAGAGAGTGCTGGACATTTTTCTTTGTGATACCGACAAGGGACACATCTGTCGGCGATCAGCGGACGGGTTAGCTTGCTCTATGCTGCAAAGAGCGGCAGCTTACGCTTGAGCTGCTCTTTTCCGCGCAGATTCCGGCACCCGCGGTCGTTTTTGACGGCCCGTTCGCCGCGGGACCTCCATTCCAGCCACAAAAGCTCAAGAAAGAGACTGTTGAGTTGTTGAAGCCAGCTTGAAGAATAGAAACAAGAATAATTTTGGGTAGATGTTGAGGTGCGGCGCATTCCGCTTCCATCAGCGGAAGGGACGGCGGCGCGTTGTTTGCTTTGTATGCAGTCCATGCCTTAGGCAACAAGGCTGTTGTCATAGCTGTTTGCTTTTTTTCAATGGAAGGACATCATTCAGTGTGAGACTGACTGATCTTCAACCTTTAGGCGAAGGAATATTTTGAGTCATAGCTTGGACAGCTTGAGCTCGAATCATCTCGTTGGTCCTTACAGCTTGGAGCATTTTAGGTACCATACATAGTCGCCTAATGGAAATAAGGATTCCTTGACCTTCCAGGCTCTGTCCTACAATTAATTGTGTTATTACAACTAATTACGTATTCTACATTGGAGATGGGAAACAAAGAAAATCACATCATATTTCAATTCTTGCTAGTTCAAGATCTCATATTACCTGGGTAAGAAACCACTTGGATTCCATTCCTTCGACATCAATTGAGGTTGTGAGCACTCGAACACTAGCAGGAATGGCATAGCCATTCTACTAACCAATAGTCAAGAACATCGAGTTTCGATCAAAGTCTAGGAGACAATTAAAGGGGGTCACATCCAGCAGACAAAACAACACGTCGACTAGGTCGCCGTGAACTCGATGCTTGTTTGACCAATTGTCTTCCCCTGGCTGGTGGCCTCAAATTTCAACAGCCCGTCCATCGCGCCAAAGGTAACCCTGATATTGTATTGCAAGTCGTAGATTTTCTGCCCGTTCTTCTTCTTGCATTCAAATCGAGACAGATTTACTTGAGTGAAGTCGACTACAATACTTCCAACCTTATAAATTCCTGCCAGCGTTATATGGTCAGAACCAGACACATTGCACCAGGGAAAGGAAACGCACCGTTCATCTTCTTTCGCTCGGGAGCTAGCATCTCATCACAGGCGTAGAAGTCGGTAGTCTTCTTCAGAGAGTCACCATGAGAGTGAGTCTCCCGCACGTATGTGGTTTGTTTGTAATTCTCCGCATATTTCTCGCCCTGATAGGTCAATCAGGGGCACACGAGTTACAACCACATCTGTCACATCAATCCTCACCTTGGCAATCATCCACTTCATAATACCTTGGACCCGCTTTTTCCCATCGAAATCATCAATCCAGGCGTCGCTTTCGTCATCATAACCCTTGCGGAAAAGGAGGGACCATGAAAAGCCGTAGTGCCGACGGCATAGTCTGGTCGTTGATCGTATACCTTCGAGACCGCGAAGGGCGGCACCTTGAACTATAGCGGCTTGCCTGAGTATAGTTACATTCGTGATGAGGTTAGCAATGCTCGGAGTTCCGGGTTATATGGTCATTGCTCACGGATTATCGGGGACCGTGACGGCGATCTTGCCCGTAGTCTCGAATGTCGACACGAGCGCTCTTCGAAGGTATTCTGACTCGCCGAACCCACCGACAAGAATGATTCTCTGGCAGGGAGGTAAGCTCAAGAACCAGAACACAAGGTAGTAAACGAAGAGGACTAGCATACATTGATCATCTCTCGACCGCCAAAGTTGCGCGCATCAGTGATCTGCCGCTGCACCAGACTGATGATCTGGTTGACCACAGGGTCAAAAATAGTGCGCAAGTCATCACTATGCCAGTCTGAGCACTTCCGCTTCACATCCGACAGGGCCCACTTTTACCTTGTTATCTTGACCAGACGTTCATCGGCATCGAAGTGTTTGCTACTTTTCGCCTTCGGTAAGGTCATGTTCAGGGGTAATTCAAGTATGTCGAGAAAGCAGGAGTCCCCGAAATCCTTTTTGATAACCTCGAACCTATTCGTGAAATGGCTTCCGGGGCCTTTGGCAGATACTGGCAAGTTGTCGAATGCTTTGCCAAATCTGTGGGACATTAGCTTGTAGAAGTTACGATCAATTGCCGTGGAACCGCATTTTCCTCCTGCATAGGTGCTTAGCGACGGCCGCATAAGGAAAGTATCAGCAAGAGATTCATACCAATGCCTGTCAGTAGTTCTTCGAACTTGAGTGTTGGGTTAACCTGCTTGACAACGTAGGTAGTAATATCCTAGAATGAAAGCCAGCATCGTCAATGGAAACGTGTCCAGACAAATGAAGAAAAGAACAAGAGCAAGCTTACCACTGTCCCGCCGCCACAGTCACAGACAAGGACTCCGTCTCCCACCTATAAGCGTGAGCAAAAGCACATTCCACAGAGAAAAGAGGGACTACAAACTTTGACCGAGCCTCCAATACTTTCATCGGTGTATTTCTTAAGCGCCGTGATTGCGGCCGCTTCAGGCTCGCTGATGAAGTACAACCGATCGTGGGGTCTGTCCGGGCTTGACCAAAACCCTGCTCTATGCGCGGCTGTCCGGGTGGCATCCTTGGCTTGGTCGGACCAGATCGCAGGCACAGTAAACCAGAATTCAAGTGGAGTGATGTCCAGATCTTGTTGGGTGATGTGGCGGGCGAGGGTAAATTTGATATGTTGATAGATATGAGTTAGGTAGTCGGCCGCAACATCGACCGCTGCCTTTCCGGCTGGGAGACGCAAGATGCCGGCACCTGAAGCTTCTTCCAGAGCAGTGTCATCGTACGCGGTTAACGCGGTATTCTTGTCCAGTAGAAGCTTTGTCCAAGAGTATGCCACCATTCCAGGCGGGACCTGATAACCCCACAGGTCTCTGGAAGCCTTCGCATTTTCGGTCGCGTATGCAATCCGGGATGGGGTTTTGGATACTGTATCGATGTTGCGCGCATTGCCTGGCCAGGTTTTGATGACTGTGATATTATCTAGCGATGAGCCCCGCGAACTTACATAGCTCGCTCCTGTGAACGTGGTGCCATAATCAATGCCCACAATAATCTTGCGGTGGGATGTGTCAGCGCCCAGCAGTGTCGAGTCCACCGAGTCTGCCATCTTTGGTGATTAGAAGTATCAGAAGATAGAAGACCGGGAACGGTGGATTGAAGCAATTCGAAGAGGGCTGTTGTAGATAGGGAAGACGAAACTGATACTTTTCACCAGTTGTGATCTCTGGTCAGCGGCTGAGGCTCGGGTGAGATACTGAGTAAAGGCAAAGAGGTACAAGAAGAATGAGGGGCAAGTAAGAAGATGGAAGAAAAGATACTCTTTGTTAGGCTGATCCTGGAACGTGAGTTAATGGTGACAGCCTTTAAAGCCAACAGTGAAGGGTGATGGGGTAACACATCTCACCCTCGTGGGTGTTTCCATCACTTTCTCCTCCTCATCTCATGAAACGCGGACTTCCACATTTCTATCTAGAAACTTGGTGTCAGCTAATGCTACCTTGAGTAAGGCTACGCCACCCGACTTCAACCTCACAACTACCTCGTCAGCACAAGCATCCCCGACCAAGATCATCACCGCTCGCTGTCACCAAACATTCAACTACTGCACGCGGAAATATGACCAAGATATACCAAAGCGACAAGATAGAGGCTGTACACTAAGGGACACGATGAACGCCAACTCACTCAGTCCACCAAGGATGGTGGGGAGTTTGCTCCGCGGACTGAGAAAGGTTTGCTGAACCTTATTGCCTCCATACATTCTTAAGACTCAACTCTCACATCTGTGTAGTATCTCCCAGGTGATGAATTTGATGGAGGCATATGTATCAAGAATGAAACCACACAGCTGCAACCCGAAAAGACACCCGATCGGAACACAGATGATGCCCTCATGAAAAGTCAGTCTGACAACGGGAGCCCCAGTGATCACGACCATTTTAGAGAAACCGAGTATTATGGACACATAGACGATCTCGATGACAAGGTCAACAAACTGCTCAGAGAGAAGGAGTCGCTGATTCGGCAAGCCGAGATCCGTGAGCGGGAGATCATTGATGAGTTCGGTAGGCGCGCAAATTACCACAAACAGCGTGTGAGCAGGCTTCGAGACCAAGTCAGGGATCAGAAGATAACGATCAGGGAGCTTGGTAAACAGGCTCGTGCGCACAAAGAGAAGATTGCGAAACTCCAGGCTATGGTGATTGCCAGGCACGAGTCGGCTCTCGAATCCCTAAATGCAGGAAAAGGCCCGGCACCGATGGATGACCATGACGTTGAAAGTGCTCTGATAAGACTGCAAGAGAGCATCCGCTCCTGGGCCAGAAAGTATACAGTGTCACATGTGGCAAGGCTGGAACACGTATCAGAAGCAGAACTAGATTTGGTTGTCATGGACCTAGGTGCCTACTGCAGCGAGCTCACATGGTCTTCCTTGGTCAGCAAGTTGCCCATCTCAGTTGACAAGATTCCAGCAATTCTCGTGCAAGCTGCATTAGCCTACGTCGTATTTGAATGGATATTCGGGGACCCGTTCTTTCTCTTCAGGCAAATAGAACATGTTAATTCTAATTCCCTGTGTGGCGGTTTGACCAAGATTTATGATCAAATGAAACTAGGTAAGCATGTTGTTTGCTGCTTGACTGAATTACTAAACCTAACGGAGCATAGTCGACGAGGTGGAAAGCCATGCTTGGCGCTCGCAGATGTTGCGAATGCTCTGCTTAGCTTCGGTTCAAGGCGCGCAGTCATTCCTACACGGCCAAGTTGAGAGTTTCAGCAGTGAACTCGCACAGTTCTTCTTAGACAGTTCTGCTAGTGCTCTACTAGAACGGCCTGGGAGTCCTCTTGCGCTTGACCATCGGGAGAAGGAACTTGAGAATGTGCTTTCAGGAGCAGCTAATCTGGCTCTATCTCTCTGGACCCAGCGTACAAACATGGTCTGCTACAGCCTCTACCAGTTACAGAACTTCTGGAATGGAGATCCTGTTGCTGAAGCGCATCGTCTTCATCATCTGGATGACGACGATAAACGCCTGGATGGCACTAATATCGTGCTATTTGTGCAGCCTGCTGTAGTAGCCTTTGGGTCTGTGCATGGCGAGCACTATGATCAATCAAAAATATGGGCTGCAGCAACTGTACTGGTTGTTGGTAAGATTGCAGACACCGAGCCGGAGAAGTTTATCGAGATCAGCAGCTCTATCAAAGCAGAAGAACCCAATCAGCCGACGGAGAGTCTCCCCAAGGCAGAGAAACCCATGAAGCTAGAAGAACGTATCACGGTGGGAAGTTCTATCAGGGTGGAAGTTCCTGTCAAGGTGGAGAGTTCTGGCAGTGTGAAAAGGTGTCCTAAGATGGAAGATGAAGATGCGGATGATCTAATGGTTCTTGACGTTGATTAGTACAATCACATTTCCTTTGTGATCTTTCTTCGAATGGCCATTTCATCTGCCAAACCTATGTATGTACTTTGTTTACAAGATCGTGAATCAGAACCTTCTTTCAAACCCTTCAGGCTTCCTGGTGATGGGTTATGGCATAGTATACCTTCGTAGCGCTGTGCCATTTTGGTAGACACCAGTCCAGTAGTTTCAGCAGGAATGACTCTCAAGGTTAGCTGGACACAGGCAATAGAACTCATTTTGTACTTTAGCATCAAGATAATTGGGTCCACTACGATGAATCTCTCTGCATCCATCCATGCAGTCTTATGCATCCTGCTTAGAATCACTCACCCCTCTCTTCCAAACATTATCCATGGTGTCAGCATTGTACCTCCTGACAACCATCTCCATCAACAGCCAAATCAGCAAAAGTTGACACCACCACATGGCCTGCAGCTCGAGATAACTTCAAGCTCTAATGGTGACTTTTATCCTAGGATACATCCTTTAGGCCGCCACCAGCTCTGTAGCATCGATATTGTCCACCCAACTAACAGTTAATCCTCCAGTCTTCTCATAAGGGCATCAGTTATCAAGGCTACGGAGAGGAGCATATCGGTCGTTTGTTTTCAATCTGCATTTACCAGAAGGTATTTCATCTAGAAGTGATGTTCCTAATGTTAATGCCACTTTTCGAAGCAAAGCACGGTCAATGCAGATATACCCTGAGCCGACGGTTTGGCCGCCTTAATGGATAGATTTCCGAGCTTTCCCAATAGCAAACTGCCCTGACTTTGTCAAAGATACTCCTATTTGAGGTTTACCTAAGCATCTGAGCGAGAAAAGTTTGCTATTCAACCCAAATATCTAATAGAAGCCTTGTTCTTTAAGACAAAGACGAACCACTTCACCAACTCCCCGCCACGTCTGAACCAGCAGCCTAAATCTGAATGTCTTCGTGAGACATACTTCCATGCCTTGAAACTCACAGTTCCGTCATAGACAGCTTCGGCGAGGTGGTCATGCCTAAAGTAATTAAATCGATGTCATATCGATTGTCTCAGGGATGGGGTGTCGACTTCGAGTCACAATCCGAACATGACGGCAGTTCGAACTCGGAGCTGAAGCTTTCCTCGTTGAATCTGTCGTACAGGTCTGCAGGTAGCATATCCTTTGCGCTCCCCTCCCACATTTCCAACTTATCGCTATCTGAGTCGTACTTGAGCACAGCCCGTCCTCCGTAGTGCTTGACCACGCTAATGATTCTTGCAAATAGGGACACGAGCTTTTCGAGGTCATTCTGGTGAGCCGCTTCCCAATTCTTGATCTCCGCCTCCATATCTTCAACCGGGGGCTTCTCAAAGAGTCCTTCCTTGTGGTAGGCGCGCACAAGGTTCGGGGTCTGGGACACCCAGAGCTGGGGGATGACCTCATGGACATCAATGGGCATACGAATGGTTGCGAGTTTTGACTTCAAGCGTTGACTGAATGGGCACAACCCGGCCTTCTCTCTCAATCAGTAATTTCGGGCCGGCTGAAGAAGCAGCCTGGAACAATTGCAGATCAGGCTTACCGTAATAGAGGGACTCAAAGGAACGGGAGACCTCATCAACGTCCACGTCTCCGGCTCCCATCAACCCCTCAGAAGCCAGGAAATCGACATAGCCGTCCGTTTCGTAACGAACCAACAGCTTCAAGCCCCCAAATAGATATGAGATGATCCTGTGATGTCCGGTACTCCCCGTCACCTGCTCTGTCGTGAATGCCTTCTCAAATTCGTGTCCGAACCCCTTAAATTCACTCCGTCCGATGTTATCAAAGGTCTTTGTCTCCGAGCGACAGAAGATCACAGCTTGTGTGTTTGTGGCCAATTCGACGAGGATGGTGAACGGTTCGAGGCCATTGCGTGAGGTCGTCGGATTGACGAACGTCAAAAGCTTGCGGATGTTGTTCCGATCCGTCACGAGGTCGACCGAGTGGATATCGAATGAAGGGTTCTCAAGGTAACGGGCGCGAAAGAGAGGCTCGAGTGGACTGTCGGGGTGGCGTGCAGCATTCTGAGCTATGTAAACCAATCCGCTGTCTTTGTCGACCTTGGTCGGAGTATCGGGAGGAGACCAAAGGGCGGGACTACCGGGAACTGCAATGGTCGGTGACGATGCTTTGATCCAGTTGTAGGAGGTGCTTGACATCCGTGATGCATGCCTTTCCTGGATAGGTGTTTCTGAGATCCGCACGGGATATCTCTGCCACCTTGACAGGAGCCATTGAAGCTGAAGCGGACTGGTTGGAATGGACAGAAGTGTGCAGGAAAGAGAATTTGTTCGGACAATTAATTCGATACACAACGCGTATATCACGTATCCAGGAATATTTGAAATAGCAACAATCCAACAGAGATGAAAGGAAAGGTGATATGCGACGGTTGCGAGACACAAGGTCAGGAAACTAACAGGTTTTTGTTGGCTTACCACAGGTTTGGGCTTTTCAGGAGACCCGATATTGTGAATGTAATAGATTTATGGCTCATCTGGTCCACAAATTGCTTTTTCCTGGGAACTGTTGCTTGCTATAGTGTGGGATGTTATGCGAATTTGATCCAGACTTGTGTATACACACAATTCACTTCTTCATGGAATATACCTTTTTTTTTTTTTTTGATGAGCCTACATTCACTTCTAAATCTGTCATTCCAGGCTGGACTCTGGCATCTCTGTCCACTGTTTACTGGTTTTTTATTCTTGTCTTCGATTTGAAGTTCTTTTGCAAGTGCAAGTTTGGTACTTTTGCATCAGTATACGGATGGTTGTTGAAATTGAAATGTCATCTCTTAAATCCGAAGGTCAAGGTGCTTAGCTATATTTAGCCTAACCTTACTTACACACAATGGACGCTTCGAATACATCTGGCCTCTACACCTAAGAAGCCACATGTCATGTTGCTTCAGGACGGCAGGTTCCACCATCACCGAGATATATTTCTCAACAGGTATGTTGCATGTTCAAAACAGGAGGATTGTTTTCAACTGTACCATGTTTTATATACGCTCACTACACACTAATATGTCTTTCTTGTGAGCTTAACTCGACTTCCAAGACATAACTTTTAGCCAGACATTTGCTACGACGGTCAAGTAAGAGTTTATCGAACGCATTGGCAAAACGGCAGGGCAGCCACGTGACCCGTCACAACCACCGCTTGCACAACAAAAGTTGCTCGCTTACACAGACTTGGTAGTCTCATCAGCATGAGCATCGAACCAAGAAGAAATAGTCCATCAGGTTCTTCTTTTTTGCCCGCGGAGTTCGACGCGCCTGCTGCTCGATCACATCAGTGGGCTTGGATGCAGGCTTAGTGTCATGCAAGGCTTAGCACCACGCTAACCCAAGACGGCAAGGGAACCCTGTCCAAAGGAGCTATCGGAGATCCGGAGCCCCCAATGTGGAACCAATGCTGCCGTGACGTAGCCCTCCACCGGCGGTGTAGATCACGATCCTACAATCTAGTCGACCACGAGGAACTTGCAGACAAATCTCACTGACCACATGGTCGCCCACGAGGTCGATGCAGAAAGACAGGGATGCACTGAAATAAGGGTAGTACTCGACTGGGATCAGGTTCGGTAGCACGGCAAATCCCAGAATAATGACAACCATTTGCCATGAACCTATTCCGACCGCATTTACGTCTTCCTGGATTCTCGATTGACTCAAGGAACCGATCGCCTACTGTGCTACATCACAGAGCAAACATTGCTAGGCAGAGAAAATAAGCGAAATGCTATTAGGCCAAGCATCTTGGAAGTGGAGCTGGACGCCTACACACCCAAAGCTACAGCGAATGTCTTTGGTAGAAATCTTCCACTGCCTCGTATTCCATGAATCCTGCCGGCGCCCGCCCCCAAATCCTCCGGAGAAGATTCCTTCGAGCTTCTTTTCTGGAAGTCCGTGAACCTATTCGAGCACTCCGGATAGCTTCAGCACGCTTTGAGGAATGCAATGGTCTTGGTAGCTGAGGCTGGAGTGGTGAAGTCGGTGGACTGATGATTGAGATTCCATGAAGGCCTCCATATAAAGGTGCTAGAGGACGGCCAGACAACCACAAGAACAGACAGAACAATCCAAACAATCCTTCCCTCTAAGTCCTCAAAAGGGGTCTGCCTTGTTGCTCATTGCCATACCACAACACAACAAGCGCAAACATGTTCGCATCGATACCCAGCCTGCGCATCTGCCTTGTGGCACTAAGCTTGTTCTTCATCTGGTCTCCCCTGGCCGCAGCCGTACCCCACGGCCCTGCCCCCAGCAAAGACGATGCAGCCCACCTCGACAAGCGCTACACCAGTCCCACGGTGATCTGGCCCGCCAACCTCACCCGCACCCCGATGAACGTCTTCCTCCAGATCCTCAACACCCAGCCCAACCCTGATCCGGACCTCATCAAGGAGTGCGTCACCCTGGACGCCACCTACGTGTCGCTCACTATGGACAACCCGGACCTGCATAAGATCATGCCGTGGGCGGGGACGCGCTACCGGGTGGGCTACCAGGCCTTCCTGGACACCTTCACACGTGTCGGCCTCTGGTGGACCCGCGGCCCGTTCTCGATCGACGCCATCTTCAGCGACGGCGGGGGCAATGTCACCGCCTGGGGCCAGTTCGAGATCACCTCCAACATCATGCAGAAGACCATCACCGCCCCCTGGTCGGCTCGGGCCGAGATCAACGACGACATGAAGATCACCTACTTCCAGTACATGGAGGATACCTTCGGCACGGCGAGCACCTTCTGGGCCGATGGACAGAAGGAGTATCGGGCGGATCCCTATGGGGGTAGTGTATGGCTGTGAGGTGTTGTAGCTGGACTGGTTTCACATGAAGATCAAGGTGGTGGAGTGGGGATATTGAATGTGCTACTGCAAATAGATTGAATTGTTGGGGATGACTATGTTGGGTAATGGTGATAGAAGCGGAGGACAAGATCGATTGGGATAGCTAGGGATAGTCGAATACACCTATTGGCATTAGCCGGACTTCCTGTGCGTCCATCCTAATCTAGAAACATGAGTGGATTGCAGTGGGTACTTGATCCTCCGGAAGTTCATAACGCGTACTCCGAATAACAAATGACTAGAATAGGTGTAGGAGAGGTGCAGTGGTGAGATGATCGGGGCTTCGGGATTAAAGCGGTTAACTCCTTTGGGACACAAATGCCACTCCGAAACTCCTTTCGGTGACGCGCAGGATGGCCGAATCGGGTAAGCGCAACGCAGTGGTGCTGACTAAGGAGACGATAAGAGCTCATGCCACTCCGATAAGAAAGTACAAATAACGATAACAAGACCCCTCTTTGCTGGATGCTACTCTACCTCTTCCTACCTCAATTCTTCCTTCTTCATTCATCAATCTTGTTGAGATCCCTTCCTGACACATCATGACTCGCGTACTTCTCACCGGTATGTTCAGCTGTACCCCCGGGCCAATGATCCGAGACTAATTGACCAACAGGTGGAAGCGGCTTCATCGCTGCCCATGTCCTGGAAACCCTCCTAGCCCGCGGCCACTCCGTCGTCACCACCGTTCGATCGCAGACCAAGGCCGATGCCATCCAGAAAGCCCACCCAGAAGTCACCCAGGATCGCTTGTCGTTCGCTATTGTTGAAGATATTGCCCAGCCGAATGGTACAGTACATCTGTCCCTGCCAAAATAATGTCTCTGCATGGCTAACCAGCCAATCAGCTTTTGACCGCGCGGTGGTTTCGGATCCTCCTTTCGAAGCTGTCATCCACACGGCCAGCCCGTATCACTTCCACGCTAAGGACGCAAAGGAGTTGTTGTTGCCAGCCGTCACTGGCACCACAGGGATCTTGCAGTCGGTACAGAAGTATGCCCCGCTAGTGAAGCGTGTCGTTGTGACTTCTTCCTTTGCTGCCATCAACGATGTCTTTGCCTCTGCCGCTGGCAAGGTTTACTCAGAGGTAGGCTACCTGCTTTGTGAATGTCGGTTGAGGCGCATACTAAATCCGCGATCATTTCTGCAGGCGGACTGGAGTCCCATCACCGAAGCCCAGGCCAACGACAGCCCCGCCAACGCTTACCGAGCCAGCAAGACGTTTGCTGTAAGCCCGACCTACAAGTCCTCTGCGCAATAAATCTCCGAGTTCCACAATGACTGACATGAATCCCTCACATCAACAGGAACGAGCCGCCTGGGACTTTGTCGAGCGCGAGAAGCCCAACTTCACCCTCTCCGTGATGAACCCCCCACTTGTCCTCGGCCCGATCACCCACCACCTCACCTCCCTCGACGCCATCAACACCTCCAACCAGCGCATCCGGGACCTGCTCTCCGGCGCGGCCAAGAACCGCTGCCCGCCCACGGGCAACTACCTGTTCGTGGACGTCCGCGACCTCGCCCTGGCGCACGTCCTTGCCGTCGAGAAGGAGGCCGCCGGCGGCAAGCGCTTCTTCACCGTGTCGAGCCACTTCTCCAACGCGGAGATCGTCGCCATCATCGCCGAGGAGTTCCCCCAGTACAAGGACCGGCTGCCCACGGGCGACGCGCTGAAGCCCGGCCAATACCCGGCGGACGGGGTGTACGGGTTCGACAACACGCGGGCGCGCGAAATTCTGGGCGTGCAGTTCCGGCCGCTGCGCGAGAGTATTGTGGATGCTGTGAAGAGTTTGTTGCCGCTTGGGGCGGATAAGTATCAGGGTGAGGCGGGGCCGGAGCGGTAGGTGGGCCATTACGCGGTGGGAGTTTGCTGAATGGTTTGTTTTGTTCGGATAATGATTTCTGGCATGATATTTTTGCATATCAGTTGATAGGCAAGCTAATTAGACGGTGTGAGAATGTAAAGTAGTTTTTAAGATGTTGATGTGCATTGAATAAGTTGGCTCTAAGTCACAGAATAGGAGATAGGCGTCATGCGACCACAGGTACTGTCCAGACATGCTTCTACAACACCTAAGACGAAGTCGCCCGGCAGAGCCGACCGTCTGACTCCTGCACCCAATTGTCACTGCCCACTGCCGTCCAGGCATAGAAGGAGTCCTGGGGATCATATTGCTTTTTAATGGCCAGCAGGCGGTTGTAGTTGGGCCCGTAGAAGGCTTCCTTCCAGTTCGGCTGTTGCGGGTCGGCCTGGAGATTCCAGTGGGTTAGTGGGAAGCTGTCATAAGTCTCAAGGGGAGAACCCTGGAATCGTACCTCATTCATATAACAGCCGGGATCAGACGTCAGGGCCTCCAGCGTCGGCACCCACTTCTGGGTCATCTGGTCGGCGAGCTGCTTCATTTTGCCGAGATTGGCGTGCTCAGGCCAGGACCTATTCCACATTCTTTTTTAGTTCATGTTCTCGAATCCGTGCTGCGGAAATACCAGGCAAAGGCTGATCACTTACGTCGACAAGATGACGTCCATCGCCGCCGTCCGCCACGAGGGCAGGACGGAGTTGTTGGTAGGTCCCGTCACCGCGGACGAGACATTCAGCGCGATACTGACGAAGACGGCGCCGTCCTGGGTGATGCTCCGCACGGCGGCCGTGAGATTGGCGTTCGCCTTCTCAATGACCTCCAGCGGGATCAGCTTGCCGCCGTACTGGCCGTTCTCAACCAGCTGGGTGGGGTTGGGCTCGATCAAGGTGTTGTAGTGGTCCACGTACGAGGGGGAGTGGGTGAGGTTCATCGCGTAGGTGATGTTCAGCGTGTCCAGCCTGGCCGTGAGCGGGCTCAGCAGGTCGAGCGCGCGCTGCAGCGTGGCGTTGGGGAGGGTCAGCGGGGTGAGCAGGAAGGAGGCGTTCATCACGCGCGCGATGGCCATCCCCCCCGCCGCCGTGATGCGGGGCACCAGCGAGTGGTAGAACTCCACCGCTTGGTAGAAGGGGTCGACATCGCTCGGGTCGGCCGCGAACTCCAGCACCACTCCCACCGTCGGGAAGTCCGGGAACACCTTGACCGTCATCGAGGTGACCACCCCGTATGTCCCGCCCCCGCCCCCGCTGAGCGCCCAGTATAGGTCTGGGTTCTCCGTCGGCGAGGCCCGAAGCTGCCGTCCCTGCCCGTCCACCACCTCCCACTCCAGTGTCTGGTCGGCTGCCAGCCCGTACCGGCTGCTTAGAGCCGAGTGGCCCCCTCCCTGGGTGTAGCCTCCGGCGGGCCCTACGGTGGCGCATTCGCCCCCGACGACTACCAGGTTCGACTTGTGTAAGGCCGCGTAGACTTCCTCCCCTTGTACTCCGGCGCCGATCGTGACGGCGGGTCCCGTGTAGTGGGGAGAGGAATAGTCGTGCACGGTGATGTTTTTGAGGTGATGTGTCCAGATTGAGAGGCCACCTGCGCCCGTGGATTTTCCCATGTAGCTAGTCGGTGTTAGTTAATTGACTGGGCATGATGCGTTCGTTGGCTTGGGGAAGGGGGGTGGGGGGGAGGAGGAGGAGGAGGACATACTCATGTCCCGTGTTGCGGATGACAAGCCGAATATTCTTCTCGGCGGCATAGGCGATGGTCTGCGCAATCTCTGCGGCTGAAGAGACGTTCACAGCATAGGACACCATGTTCCCCAGACGACACGTGCCGGTAGATGCTGCGAAGGGGTCGCAGCTCTCGTTGGCCACGGCAGCAGCCATGATGGATGAAGATGATGCATCGCTGGCGATGCGTCTGTCAGCTAGCTTGGTCAAAAGGGAGGAAGAACGGGTAGACTTACTGTAACGCGGGCTGCGTCCACTCGTTACGCAGGTACTGACACTCAGTGGCATTGTAGTTGGGGTCAAAACAAGGCGCAGCCAGGGGAACGGTCTTGATCAGTCGCCCGCCAACGGTCGAGTTAAATTGAGACCATTCACTCGTGGTGGGCCAGCAGGGGTCGCTGGGCATGCATCGACACTGAGAAGATGTAGTATTGCTTTGCACGGCTGCGGCCGTGCCGAGCAAGACAGAGAGTACGAGCTTCTTGAGCATCATCTTGCTGTCTTCGTTTGAATGAATGATTGTGGGTGTATTTGACCAGGAAGATAAGAGGTATATATACACAATGAAGACGGCAGAATCCTGTTCCGAGTCTCCATCTCAGAACCAAGAAATTGAAGCTGAACACGCGTGCCTTCCAGAAGGAGATGCTGTGAGCCAAGCAGCCTCGCGCATGCAAGCGAAATCCTTCGAATTTGCCCTAAAGGGAAGTGGATAACTTCGGGGACTCGGAGTCAGCATCCTCTGGGGCGAATACGGAATAGTAGACTTTTGGACACGAGGTGGCTGCCTTGCTGCGAGTGTTGGTTGTCTATAGCTTGGAAGGTTTGTAGAATATAGTAGAAGCTGGTTCTTGGAAAGAATAAGGCTGTGCAGAATCATGCCGTATGTTAGGGGGGGTAGATCTTCTGTGTTGCATGGGTGTAGATTGCACAGTCTAACCACGTGGAATCTTGCTGGGATTCATCCACATGGCAAGCACATGGTCTCCCCATTTCCGCACATCTCATGCATCTTCCAATCTGAATCCCTGACCTACTACGCATGCACTATGGTCCCAGTCGCAAATCTGAAGTAGATCTCATCGCTCGATGGACAGCTATCCACTCATCAGTGCCGTTATTTAAGGAAATCAGAACTACTATCTGCATCTTGTTTGCTGCATATCTTGACTGTGTGCTCAGGTTGATCTCATTCAGATTCTTTATGCGAAATATCCGTTTACGCTACACTGACGATTACTCCCCAAACCAGAGAAATCAAACATTATGTTCAGATTCATTCATAAAATCGCAATCTCACACGCTCAAAAATCTAAAACTGGGTGCCCACGTGAATCCCACCATCAGCCAATACATTAGTGCCCGTGACAAAGCTCGCCAACGGACTCGCCAAAAACACCGCCACATTTGCGATCTCCTGCGGGCCTCCCAGTCGCTTCAGGGGAATTTTCAACCGCTGCTCCTCCACCCACTCCGGCATGATCTTCGAATACAGCTCCCAGGGCCCACCCTCGCAGAGCACGGGCCCCGGCGAGATGGCGTTGACTCGGATGCCCTTGGGGCCTAGGTAGTGTGACAGCTCCTGCACATGCTGCAGCTGGGCGGCTTTGCAGGGGCCGTAGGCCGCAGGCGGACTGCGGTAGAACTCCCGGCCCATGAACGAGCTCTGCACGATGATGGAGGCCTGTGGGGATTTCTCGAGGTAGGGCTCCGCCGCTTTCACCAGCTCCACGAAACCCATCACGTCGATCGCGAAGCTGCTTTCCCAGTGCTCAGTCTCGCCTTCCATATGCATGGGTGATGCTGTGGGTGATGGAATTAGCACAGAATATGATGGGGGGGGGGTTGTCATTTGGACGATGAGGAAAGAAAGGCAAACCGTTGGCAATAACGACATCGATACGTCCCACCCGTTCGGCGGAGCTGTTCACCCAGTTGACGATTGCTTCCTTGGAGGCAACATCGAAGGCGGTTCCCACTGCGCGGGCAGAGTTGCTCTCCGGGAGGGTTTGGTGGACGTCGTTGAACTCGGTGTTGGTGACGGTGCGGGCGCAGTAGGAGACATTCGCGCCTTCTTGGAGGAATTGACGCACCATGGCTTGGCCCATGCCTCGGGTACCTCCCGTAATGAGGACATGGGCGCCTTGAAGACCGGTTTCAAGAGGCATTGTGACAAAGAACAAGCTGTGGTGTGAGAGCGAAAGTAGAGAAATGGGAGAGGATAGTAATTAGTGGGGTTGTAGGAGAGGGGCAAGAGGCTGGATATATACTAGACTTTACGGAGTCCTACTAGTATCGTCACGGGAGTCAGCCTGCGAACTAAGGATTTAGTCTGAATAGTAAAGGTGCTAGGAGCATGCACAATGAAGGTCTAGGCTCCACTCAAGGTTATTTACTTCGGAGACCGGAGCCTCTTTACTGGAATGTCTAGAGAAGGGATTCTTCGCACCAGGAGGTACGGAGGGAGTAAATAAGCTGTTTTCTCCTTAGGGACGGCCGAATCGGGCCAAGTGGGCCCTCACTCAAGCTTTGCTGACTAACCACCGCCAGCCTGCCCACTAATCCCAATCGGGCCATCCTTCCGTAACTCCTTTAGGAAGTCCATCATGGAGTCTTCCCGCTTCCCAATCCAGTATTCATTCTATGTCGTCAACTGAGCTGGTTGCAACACGTCCTCTACAATCATCCAGAGATATAAGGTCATCGGCACGCTTTCTCATCATGGCGGCTCTGGTACTTCTGTCCCAGCCAAGCTTTCTTGGAACCCTCTTGGTGCATTGGACGGCGAGATTTCAATATCCACAGCACCAATGGAGAAGTATCAAGCAACAGATACCTTGCAGCAGGACTCCAGCGGGAGTGGCGTGATGACGCCTGTCAACGCAGAGTCTCTGCCGGACAAGGAGCAGATTGCTCTGCACGATGACCCCTTGTCGGATTCATCCAACAGTGTGGCCGTTGAACCCATTGCCCTGAGCGTGAAGCGGTTCCTTTCCCTGCGCCATGCTGACGGGAACTCACCTCAGTCGGCTAGAATCGTGATGGAGAATGTAACAGTTGAAGGTAGCGGTACAGGGGTAAGCGACAGGCCATTCTTCAATATTCCTTCGGTGGAAGCACTGACACAGTTTCACGGCAGGCTCTTCCGGCCCCAAGCGTCCTCACAGCGGCAAAAGGTGGCTTCGGCCTGTTGGAGCCCATCCAAAGTCGCCTGCATCGTCCGTCATCACGACCCATTCTTCGTGATTTCTCCGCTGCAATCCAGCCGGGCGAGATGGTCTTGGTGATTGGAAAGCCGGGTAGTGGTTGTACCACGTTCCTGAAGACCCTGGCTGGCATGTGGAATGAGTACAAGGGCGTCCAGGGAACCTTGACCTTCGGAGGCCAGCCGATGGAAGATGTCATTGATAAGGATCCGCAGGATGTTGTGTTCTGTGGTAAGTCTTCATTCGTCCTTTGGTCTGTGATGGTCGGGAAACCCATCCAACTAACGAGACGTAGGCGAGTCGGATGACCACTTCCCGACGCTGACCGTCTTCGAAACGCTGCGTTTTGCAATGAGGGCGCGCTGTGGCCCTAAACCCTCCTCGTCAGACATTGACGAGAGAGTCAAGCAGTTGGCGCAATTGATTGGACTCGGTCATGTTCTCAACACAAAGGTTGGAGACGCTTATATCAGAGGTGTCAGTGGAGGTGAGAGGCGCCGTGTCTCATTGGCTGAGGCGCTCGCTACCTGTGCAAGGTCAGTGTTCATTTCCTCATACTAGAGAAGAGAAGCTCTAACCATGTATCTGTCATATAGACTAATTTGCCTGGACAACCCGACCAACGGTTTGGACTCCTCGACAGCGCTGGAGTTCATAGAGATGATGCGGGAATGGACCTACCAGAGTCAGTGCGTGACGGCCATGAGCGTGTACCAAGGCAGTGATGCTATTGTTCCATACTTCGACAAGGTTGTTGTGATCAATGCTGGACGCCAGATCTTCTATGGCTCTATTCAAGACGCCAAGTCGTACTTCCTGAGTCTGGGCTTCGAGTGCTCATCTGCTACCACCACCACCGACTTTTTGAACTCCATGTCCGCCAGTCCAGAGGTCCGCCGTGTGCACGAAGCTCATCAGAACCAGGTCCCTCGCACACCCGACGAGTTTCAGCAAGAGTTTCGACGCAGTGTTCACTTTGAGGAGCTCAAGTCGGCCGTCCAGGCTGCAAAGTCTCTTCCCGCCGTGGCCCGTCCTGCCAAATCCGCTCAGTACGCTTTACCACTTTACCAGCAGATTGCGTACTGTACCACGCGCCAGGTTCGCATCATTCAGCACAACTATAGCTCCTTAGTTGTGGAAGCCCTGTGTATCGTTGTCCAAAGCTTGATTCTGGGAACACTGTTTCGAAACCAGCAACGGAGCACGGGATCCTTCTTCATCTTTGCGTCCGCCCTCTTCTACTCCGTTCTCGTTCCCGCACTGCAGGCCATGGCGGAGTTCCGCAGTACATTCGCCCAACGGCCGCTGATCCTGAAGCACAAGCGATACCGGCTGTATCGGCCCATGGCTTACGGCTTTGGATTGATCATGACGGATATTGTTTGGAAGATCTTCGTCATATTCTGGAATATTCCCTTGTACTTTTTGACTGGTTTTCAAATGAACGCCGGCAAGTTCTTTACCTGGTTCATCGTGGTATACATCGAGCACCTGGCCTTGTCCATGTTCTTTCGGTCTGTGGCTGTGTATTCTTCCAACATGTACCGCGCTGTTCTTCCGGTCGGTATCTTCTTCAATATGTACGTCCTGTACACAGGTCTGTATGTGCCGCCACCGCAGATGCAGGTATGGCTCGGTTGGCTGAGATATTTGAATGTGAGTTCGCCCACCAAGACAATAAAAGTCGCACGCTAACCCGAACGAACAGCCCCTGCATTATGGTTTTGAATCGGTAATGATCAACGAGTTTGGCAACCTGAGCTACGAGTGTAGCACCGCAGATCTCGTTCCGTCGGGGCCTGGTTATACCAGCATTGCCAACCAGGTATGCGCAGTAGTGGGATCTGAGCCAGGTCAACGAATGCTGTCAGGAATGGCATATATCAAGGCACAATACGGGTTCGAGAAAAGCAACCTGTGGCGCAATCTCGGAATCAATGCGGCGTTCTTCATTGCCTTTGGTCTGGCCTCAGCGTAGGTCTCCCATTTCTGTTATCGGTTTCGTCCACCCCGTATCTGCCGAAGCATACTAACGATAGCATCATAGCATTGGTATGGAACGTCTTAAGCAACCGGCTGGCCGTTTGGCGACCGTGTTCTATCGCGGCATGGGGTCCAAGAAGTCGTCTGCTCCTCAACCTGGAGCGAAGATGAGTGATCAAGAAAGCGGAGATCTGGATCTGGATGTTCCACCAGAGGCGGGCAGAGGAAACACTCGTGAGCGAAGCGCAACACTAGAGTATCAACCTCGCAGCCTGACCTGGACTGGACTAAACCTTGATGTGAAAACCAAGGACGGCCAGAAACGCCTGCTTGACAATCTGAACGGATCCGTCTATAGTGGTCAGCTGAAAGCATTGATGGGTGTATCAGGGGCGGGCAAGACTACCCTGCTGAACGCGCTGGCGGGCCGATCAAAAGTAGGAGTCCTCACCGGAACACTGGCGCTGAACGGACAACTGCTTCCCAAGTCTTTCAACCGCCACATGGGTTATGTACAGCAGCAGGACATTCACCTGCCTACGCAAAGTGTACGAGAAGCATTGCAAATGACTGCCCGCCTTCGCCGATCCCAAGAAGTCTCCCTTGATGAGAAGGACGCCTACGTCGAAGAGGTGATTCGGTCGCTAGACATGGAATCAATTGCGGATGCCCTGGTCGGAACGCCGGGAGCCGGTCTCAACCTGGAACAGCGCAAGAGGGTCAGTATTGGTGTGGAAATGGCTGCGAAACCTGACATTCTATTCTTGGACGAGCCCACTTCCGGCCTTGATGGGCAGTCAGCTTACTCCATTGTCCGCCTCCTGCGACGACTCGCGGACTCTGGCCAGGCAATCATCTGCACCATTCACCAGCCCGCCGCGGAATTGATCTCAACATTTGACGAGCTCTATCTTTTGGCACGTGGTGGACGGGTCGTGTACGATGGGCCGTTGGGTGTCGAGTGCCAGCAGGCTCTCGCTTACTTTGCGGAACATGCTCGCCCGTGCCGTGAGCGAGAGAATCCCGCCGAATACTTCCTTGAGGTGATCGGCGCCGGCACACGACGGGATGTTCAGACCGATTGGGCAGAGATATGGAAGCGAAGCCATGGCCAGCCTTCCAGCACCCAGATTGCACCTGCCTCCCCGAAGAGTGATTCCTCGATGTCCTTGCACGCCGCACCCTTCCATTACCAGATGGTTGTCTTGCTCAAGCGAACGTGGCTTTACTACTGGCGGGCGCCAGATTACGCACAGGCTAAATTGTGGTTGAATGCGGGTAATGCCTTGCTGAACGGAATGACCTACCTCAACTCGCCACTGACCCAACGAGGCGCTTACAACCGCGTCTTCTCCTCGTTCATGTCCTTGATTGTCGGCCCCCCCTTGGGTCTTCAGGTGCAGCCGCGGTTCGTCACATTGCGGAACATCTTTGAGCACCGTGAACGTGAGAGTCTGACTTATCATTGGATGGCGTTCAGCCTTTCAGCCATCCTGGTGGAACTGCCGTATGCTTTCTGCACCTCCCTCGTGTACTGGCTGCTGTGGTATTTCCCGGTGGGATACTTCCGCGACTCCAACCATGCCGGGTACAGCTTCTTAATGTACCAGCTTTTCTCCGTGTTTGCGACCAGTCTGGCTCAACTGTGCGCCTCGCTGATGCCCACGGTGGAAGCTGCGCTTTCGGCGAACGGGTTTTTCTTCATGTTCTGTAACACCTTCGCGGGCACCCTGTCACCGGCACCAGTCACACCCGCTGGATGGCGTTGGTACTACAAGGTGTCTCCACTGTTTTACATGAACGAAGGCGTGGTGGTGGATGTTCTGCACGATCTGCCCCTCCACTGCGCAAAGTCGGAGATGTCCGTGTTCCAGCCACCGACGGGCCAGAGCTGCTATCAATATGCTGCAGCCTTCTTGCGAGATGCCACGGGCTTCCTCGTCAACCCGAACAGCACGGTCAACTGCGAATACTGTCCGTACAAAAACGGCCAAGCTTACGTGAGTTCCACCTGCCCCCGCCCTGCATGAAGCAAGCTACCCACATGGGGTGGAGTCGGAATCGGACAGGAAGTGATTGGCTGACGAACAAATTCTTCTTTTAGTACACGCAATATGACTACAGCTATAGCCACCGGGGCCGGAATGTGGGTGTTTTCATCGGCTTTATTGCCTTCAATTTCACCATGGTTTTAGTGATCACCTATCTGACGCGTGTGCGTCGGCGCCGTTGAGAGGGGGAAAGTAATATGTGGCTTGGAGTATGCATTGCCGATTTCTTGGTCTTTTTTTTTTCTCAATTCCTTTTGAATTTCCTAATCTTATGCTCTCCTAATTGTCATCTGATGGTTCATTGTGAGGCAGGGATCGGAGGAGAATCATCAGGGATTGTTTGTTTGCTTGCTGCTTGGCATTAGTCATTGTAGACCAGCTTGTGCTTGTATGTATCGGTACAAAGATCTACCGGCCCGCTCCGGCAGTTCCAGCCCAAAAATCAAGAGTCCTATTAGATGACAGCTCGTTTCCAGACCCTTTCGAAATGTCATGTAGCCTGTATCCCAAAGAATAGCTTAAAGTAACCTTCACTTTCGGGGGAGCGGAAGATCGGGAGGGGGGGAGAGGGGTGGCTCTGGGGAGGGGAAAACAATTCCTCAGGGAGAGGAAGGATCGAGATCTGTTCAAGATCCTACGCCAGGTAAGTCGCACTCGCACTCTTTTTCCTCCCCGGGCGACGCTGCCAAGTCATCCTCTGCTTCCCGTGCTAACGCTCTTCATCTCTAGCCTGGGAATACCTCGCTTGCTCCTGCATGACACCCGGTATGAACGGAGTAATGGTTCCGTATCAGCGACAAAACCCGATAATAAAAAACACAGGGTGGATATCCCCAAGTGAGGTGGTCCCCTCCTTCCTATCCAAGTCAAGCCACGCGAGATTCTTCCCCTCCTGTCTCCAGAAGATGGAGAATATATACTAGTGGATGTGGGTATGAAAGTGCCGGGTAGGAGTCCCCATCCCTTGCACAACTGGCTGTGTCAAGCTAGTGTTTTTGGATTGTGGTCTAACGTGTTAGGGTAGATGATCTGCTCCGTCCGGAACTTCCTCACCAACCGTATCCGAACCCCCCTCAGCCAGCAGACGAAACCAAATCTCACCCACCATCACGGTCTCTATCGCTGCCTGGAGATTGGCCTAAGCGAATGGAAGGAAGACCCCAGGACTTCGACTTCATCTATGGACCACATCTATCGCACCACTCATCAGTCTGGAAGTCGTGAGGGTGCAATATATCTTCTGCAGATATACCGCTCCCCCTCTTCTCTTCTGCGGCTCGACTATCTTTCCAATCCACCACGAAGATAACAGAAGTGGAAAGACAACAAAGAAACAAAAAAGAAAAAAAAAAAAAA